TTCGAGAAATTAAAAGTGGATGACATAATATTATTTCTTAAAACAGTGAGCCTCAACCAAAAAATATAAACCATATGAGAATGTCAATAAAATCAATTTATCTACAAACTGTATATCTGAAAAGAATACATCAATAAAACCAGGCTATCGACAAAAAGTTAAAAGCCTCTTTACAAAAAGATGTCAATGAAACCTATCTACAAACTGATTTCTTACAAATAATACATATTCTATTCATGTGAATCTATTCTAAAAATCTTGTCAGCATCACATTGAGGTTGATATACCTTAAAACAAAATACACCAAATCAAATCAGAAAAGGCAAAGGCGAAAACCGTGAAATTTTCATGGGCATTGCTAGTAAAAAATAACTTTAGATCAAAAGAGAAAACGTCTTTTAAAACTAAATTTCTTTGGTGTTTCAATAATAAAAACCTAAATTTCATTAATATTATCATTTATTTATTATGTAAGTTCTTGTTAATAGGAGCAGGTGCTGAAAACGTCATGATTCGTCAAAGAAGATATTTTTTTTAAATCTAAAGTTTCATCCTTTGATACGTTTTGGAAAAGTGGGTTAGGCCAAGAACTTTTCAGCATGCCTTCGACCGACGAGAAATTTAATACTTTATATAATACCGTATATACTCGTGTATAGCGCGAGATTTTATGATCAATTTTTACGCAAAAATATAAGCGGTCGCACTATACGCAGGTAATTTTTTTGAAGAAGTTAAATATCATCCACTTCCGCTGACCGATTGCATTGTACATAGGTAAATTTTTTCTGGAGTTGTTAAAATTAATGCTAGAAAATTCAGGGGTTACACTATACATGCAGTCGGCTTATACACGAGTGTATACGGTAGCTATAATTTTGTTACTCATAATTTCGATACTTGTTTTCCCTTCTTCTTCTTATCGTCTTAATTATAGTATTATTATACTATTATTATATAGTATTACTAATTATAGTATTATTATACTATTATTATTATAGTATTATTATTAGAACCTTGTTAAAAGAACAACTTTTCTTTTCTTTTTAGGCGTACATTGATGGGGGAGAGCCACTGCCGAATTGGGAGAGCTTAGCTACAAGCGCTATCTATACGGACGGAGAAGTGAATAATCCGCAAAGTCAAGGTGATTCTTTGATAAAGATTTATCGAGAGATAACAATACTTTAATTAAAAAGAAAATGACTAAAAAGAAATTTAAACACCAGAAATTGCACAATGATGATGATTTTCTAAGCGTAACTTGGATGAGACACAAGGTCGAACGCTGGAGCACCCAATGAGAATCGAACTCACTACTCAGTCGTAATTAATCTATCAAGACGAGATTTCTAACCTTTACACCACGCTGAAGTACCCAAAGGCTGCATAATGATGAGCTGGGATCAAATATGGATCAAGTATGAATCCGATAGAATGATAAGATAAAGAACAAATAGGATACGTTTATCAAGTTAACTTTTATTTATTTCGCTTTCATATGTTTCACTTTTATCTAGTGAAACTTTAGAATTGACAAACGTTTCCGATTTTTTCTTAATCTCATCAGACTACACTATGCAAATAATTTAATATCATTCGTTTGTAAATACAAATACAATTTCGAGAAAATTACCTGATTTGTTAATGTTCAAAGATTGTGTAACATGTTTGCTAATAAGATATATTCTAAAGCAGTGTTTTTCAAACTGTGGGTACAAATCCTTCAGTGGGTCGCGAGATAAATAAAATGGGTCGCGACAAAAAAGAAAGAAAAAACATGCAAGTGAGAGTAAAGCGCAGAATATAAACAACTCTAAACGTTGCACTACACACATAAATCATCGCTAGTTAGGTTAGCTCGTATTATATTTTATTTTTATATATATATATATATATATATATATATATATATATATATATATATATATATATATAGACTGTTTTCATTGAGTTATGAATCTTGTTCGTCAAACTCATTACGGAATGAGTGACGTAGTTTCTCTCACAAAGAGACCTCGCGCCAAAACTTAGCTACACAGGTGTGCAGTGCGTTCGTCTTCGTGGCCGATGAAAGTCGTTAAGATTGTTGAATAATTCAGTTGCATCTGAAGTCAAGGATGAAAGTGAACTTTCTGACTCAATGTCGGAGTCGAGTACCCATTCATTCTTTCGATGGTTGTAAGATGATGTGTTGTGTTCATTGGAAGTCTCGGAATTTTCGGTGAGTTGGCTGTTGTTTCGGCGAAACTTAAGAATAGGTTAGTTTTTTTTAAAACTTGTACCTGTAATACTTGTAACTTGTGCTATTTGAAAATTTCAGAAACAATCCTAATGATGGATCGTTATATTATTCGAAAAAAGAAGAACGATAAAGGAACAGAAGGACAATTAACATTAACAGATACATCTGAAAATGTAACTTTCATGTATGTTGTTAAAGAATATAATCCTTGGCTAGCAAACGTTGACTTCTGAGACAACCTAATAAGAAGAGGAAAATAACAAGACTTTACAGTGAGGAATACTTGTAATATGGTTTTATGAAATGGATGGATTCTAATGGAAACGATAGGCCTCAGTGTTTGATCTGTAATGACGTTCTTGCTAATGAGAGTTTGAACTCTTCGAAATTAAAAAAACACTTGGAAAAATAGCACAACGTTCTTTCAAATAAACGTTTGGAATATTTTTAATGAAAGAAAAAGACTTAGAGTTATCAGAAAAAGTTTTTTGTCAGTTTACAACTGTTGATAGGAAAGTCTTATTGTCATCATATATCGTTTAACAAAAAGAGAGACCATTGCATGCATTAGTTGAAAAAGTTATTCTTCCTTCATGTTTGCATATTGTGCGTACTATGCTTGATGAAAAATCTGCCGAAAAATTAGCAGAAGTACCTGTCTGTAACATTACAATATCATGCAGAATTTGTCCAATTGCTGAGCATCTAGAAGAAATGCTTATTGCAAGACTGCAATCTGGTATAGATTCTGCAATACAGCTAAACGAAAGCACTGATACTGCAAATTGTGCAACACTTTTAGTTTATGTCACATACGTGTAGCAAAATGATATGCTGGAAGACTTGCAATACTGTCTAAATTTGACATCGTATACAACCGGTGCAGATGTATTTTCTGCATTAGTAGAATGTCTTGTTGGGCGCTATAAATTAAACATGAAAAACTGAAAAGGGATTACAAATAATGAGAGTGAATATGACCGGAAAAATAACGGCGTTATTAAAAGAATTTTGGATGCAGCTGATAATAATGCAATTTGGAATCACTGTTTTATACACCAACAAACTCAAAGGAGCTTTAGGAGAATCTTAAGGAAGTATTGAAAAGTGCAGTTAAGATTGTAAATTTCATCAAAGGAATCTCACTAAATATTAAAATATTTTAAATATTCTGTTCAGAGGTTGGAGCCCAATACACCCACTTTATCACACAGAAGCTCACACTGCAGAGAACACTGTCAACGATGACATACTAAGAGTATTAAAACTCGAGATCTTGTCACATCTCACTTTCCTATCTCAAAGCTTTAATAACTATTTCCATGAAGAGAAATTTGAACCAGTGAAGAAAAGCCCCTGAATAAAAAAAATTCATTTGCTTTTCAAAGTCCTGAATCAGTAAAAGGTTTGAAAAACGCTGTTCTAAAGGTGTCCTTTTGCTCCAACCACGAAAAAAAGTGGCAGCTTGATTCACAGTCCCAGATAAATGGCAGCGGATGCTTATGCTAACTTTGTCATTGTTCTCCTATAAAAAAAAAAGAAGCCTCGTATAAAACGCTGGATTATTTTCCGTGGCTGAAACCAATAAACGAGAAACTTCATAGATAAAGAGACGCGCATACACAAACACAAATACTGATTGTTATTTCTTTACCAGGTCATTATTGGTCAGTGGAGATGTCATTGCCGTTTACTCAATTATTGGTTGGGTCTAATCGTGTTGATGTCAAGCCATTTGATAAAGAAATTTGGTATGTTAATTTTGCAAGGCAAGTATCATTTTTTTTATGTAATAGAGTCGAAATTCACATTGCATCTAACTCTAACAGTTTCAGTGTAAATTATTATTAAAGTTAAAAATCTTTGCAATTTTTCACTATGACTTCGTTTCTCTGTTTACTTTTGTGGGATTATCCGACGTGTGCACCAAAGAATTTCTGCTAACGACCGCGTGATGGCGTTGCCAAAGTAGTATATAAGAAAAAGAAGAAAAAGCTTCGTCTTCTTTTTCTTTGATTTGATTATAATTATTAAATTAATAATTTACAATATTAAATGGGTGAATTAACAATGTTTAAAAAGAAATTAAAAATAAAAATTTTATTTTGAACTGAAACAGACTTCAAACTAACAAACTTTATGGAAAGTTCGAAAACTGAGTAGAAACTTACACCTTTCATTTTTTTTTATAAATTTGCATTATACTTAGATATTATTATAATCTATAGATTTTAGTTTTACTGATAGTTTAAAATCAATAAATATTTATGTCTTTTTATCATTAGTACCAGGAATGGAAAATTAAGTTTTAAACAAAATAATCCAAAGAATCGTTTTTGGTATCAGAAATTGGATTAAAAATTCTCCAATTCCAATGCCGACTCCGATTCCCCCAAAAGTTCCAATATTTCTGATTCTCGATTCCGATTCCGATTAATCGTCCCATCACTATTTTAAGGTATGCTATATTTATGGGTTAAATTTCTCAATAACGGGGATAGAGCTAATGTAAAAATTTAAAGTGAACTCGCAAAGACGACAGACTTTTACATGCTTAAACGCAATCATCAGGCCATATGCGTTGTGTTTTTGCTCGAGTATTCATATGTACAGGTCAGTGATACATTGTTGGTAGTCTATTGTACTGTTCTAACGGTTACTTTGATGGGCGGTAACGGCTATGTTTCGAATTATTCAAGGACCTATTGAGTGGAAATAATTGTGGATCCGAATTCAGTTTGGGGGCTATTTATAGTGTGCGTCTCTCTCTCTCTCTCTCTCCCTCTCTCTCTCTCCCTCTCTCTCTCTCTCCCTCTCTCTCTCTCTCCCTCTCTCTCTCTCTCTCTCTGTGTGTGTGTGTGGCTCATAGGAAATTGAGCGCAATAGCTTTTACTGTTATTACTGCCTAGGTAATAAGGTATTAATTAAAGAGAAGTTTTGTTTACTCCTCTTCTTTGTTTTCCATCGTCATGGTGATATAACAGTGATAAATATTCTTTTGTCAAAATATCTAACGATGGAGCATACGCAGAGATATTTGTACCTTTCCCAAGAGTATTATGCCAAATAGACACAAGTAGTCTCAATCAGAATTCGAACTCAGTTTCTCTCTTTCTCCACTTTCTTTTATTCTCCATCTCTCTCTCTCTCTCTCTCTTTCTCGCCACAACAGTCTCTCTTTTCCATATACTCTCCCTGTCTCTCTTACACATACACACATAATGTAAGCAAAGTAATAAGGGAAATCCCATTACTACAATTGTAAATGATCAATATTTGGTTAGCAAACATTAAATTTCTTTGATTTTAAAAATATTTCAATGTCTATTCGCATCAACTTCAAATGACATGTACACGTTTAGTAATATTAAAACTGGATGGGCACTCGTACTTAATTTATCTGTGTTGGATAAATTTACTAAATATACAGCACAAATTGTCATTTCCCCAAAATTAGAAGGCCCGTATGAATAGTCATTTCTTCCTACATAATGTATTTCACAGAATATCGGGTTTGTCTTCCCTTATAAGGAATTAATTTGGTTTGATTTCAGATCAGAAATTCCCTCCTCAGTACACGGCGATCATTACCATACGGTAAGACTCATTTACATATTATCCTAACAACACAATCGTTTTTTTTTTTTTTTTTTGTTTTTTTGTTGCTCGACAACAAAATTATCAGTAGAATCTTACTTCGTTCAATCGAAGACTATTTTAAAACATAATTAAATTTGTATTTATCCTTCAGCTCTCGTTCAACATATATATATATATATATATATATATATATATATATATATATATATATATATATATATAGGTTACGATGAGTAAATTGTCGGCATTTTTTCAATGAGAAAAAAAGAACACCATAACAGATTTCACTTCAACAGAAATTTGAAAACGGCATGCTGTACTGCTTGACATTCGCGCCGGAAGCTCCAATATGAACATTTCAGAATGTTTGGTTGTCAATCTGAGATCAGGGCAGAAGATTCGGAAAGACTTGCATGAGTCTAATAGTGACTACAAAGGTACGACTGCTCGGAAAACTCACTCTAATCATTCTGATAAGAAAATAACTCCATTCATCTTTCCACAGGGCCTCAGTCTCAACACGGGGGCCTACATCAAGTGCCTTGAGGAGGTAGTGCTGCCCTGGGTCAAGAGAGTAGCTGCTGGAAAATCCTATGTCTGGCAACAGGACTCTGCAATATGCCACAATGGCAGGAGAATCAAGTCATGGCTGTCAGACAATTTCTGTGACCACATCACATGCATCTGGCCACCTAACTGCCCAGACTCCTTGATTACTATATGCGGGGCACTAGTTATATATATATACACACACACACACACACACACATATATATATATATATATATATATATATATATATATATGAAATGGAATTTATGTGTCAGATCAATAGTAGGTAATTGAATGTCAAAATTGAAAAAAACCTATATGTAACACGTCCCCAGAATGAACTTCTTCAAACTAATAATGGTTTTATCGATGAAGTCAGGTCTGATGCGTGTGTTTGGGTGTGGGTGTGGGTGTGTCTTTGTAGGATATATAATAATATACGAAGCAAAAGTGAAGATGATGAGTCAAAGTGGAAAAGTTTATAAACCACGCGTTTCGCCGACGCCTGTTGGGCTCGGCTTCTTTATGTCGGAATGAAAGACATAACTGCGTGTAAGGAAAAGGTGTTGAGATATTTTAGGATAAAAAGGGCGATAAATTAAATTATCTTATCGTATCCGGCGACTGAATTCGATTTTATCAGATCCGACGACAAAAAAAAAACACTTTCTAGCTTTGTTGTGTAATGACCTTATGGGTCATTCGTTTTTTTGGGGGTGGGGGGTACCTCCACGGTTGGTACCAGTGTGTCGTCTCGATAGGGTTGATTCGGGTTTCCCAAAATTCTCGATATTGAGATTGGCGTGGAAGTCTAGGGTGAACCACTTATATACGTTGTGTACCAGTTATATACGTTGTGTTTTTTTAGGGCACCTAGGGGTGGTGTAATGATTAGCAAGCTTGTCTCGCTATAACAATTACGACTGAGTAATGAGTTCGATCCTCACTGGGTTCCCCCTACTTTCGGCCTTGTGTCACATCTAAGCTACACTTGGAAAATCACTATATACGTTATGTTTTATGTCTGAATGCAACTTTTGAAGATGGAAAAGGAAGTCCTTCAATAAGGTACACAACACTCTTGTTAATTCTAACAACAGGTTTATTGAATATAAAGAAAAACTGGTTGCATAAAATGTATCCAAATCATTCTACTATAGGAGTGGTGATTTGAAGATTCTGATAGGTACAAGTCCGCGATAACAGCGAAGAATAGAACAATCAAACCAGCCGAAAATTTTCTTTGATGTGGGAGCGACTTTGATTTTCCTGTCTGGTGGTCGTCAAATTTCTTCTGTGTTGTTTTTCTTCCTTGATCGGACCGACCTAGGTTCATGCAGCAACTGTTCATCGACACTGCTGTGTCCACCAAAATATTTAATAAAATATTTCATCATGATTTAGGTAGATACTGCCAAAATATTGTTCGGGCGTAGTAGAAGACATACCACGTGGCTTTTTAGAGCCAATTAGGAAGTAAATAATATAATTTTGGAGCCGATGTTTTTATGAAAAAGTGTATAAAACTCACGGCCCCAAACATGAGAGGCACATATGTCACTAAGGTCTACGTAACTCCAGCTCCTTATCTTCAAGACCCCATTCACGTCCACACGCAAAAAGCTACTACGCTGACAAATTACAGAGACCAAACCAAACTACCGCAATACAGTTCACAGTAAGAACTATATTCTCTCTTGTATCCCCCGTTATTACTAAGCACGCACACACGTACTGACTCTTTCACACAAATACACATATAACAACATTTAACCGTCTCTCACATAGTACAAAAATACAATTTATATTCTATTCCAGAACAAAAAGACATTACTTTCAAATCTATAACCAACTTCTTGTATTCTTGTCGTTATGTTAATTTATTGTTTATTTGTTGATACTACGTTGACTTTTTCTACTGGATTTTAGTCTTTTAATGAAAATCGAGTGATTATTCAATACGACCGAATTACAGTAGAAGAAATATTTTCTTGTTAGATTGGGACTAATGAGTTTCTTCCTAAATAGGTGTACACTTCAAGAATCTAGCTTTGGATCAAAATCAGTTTTTTCCAACCAATGTTCAAAGAGACAACTGCTTTTATTACAGGAAATTTTTTTTCATTTTCGCCTAGTCCAATCAGTTACAAAAAAACTTACTGGCCTCTCTGGCAGATGTACAACTTTTATAAGTTGGTTTACATTTGTGGGATCTTCCACAACAAACCAGCTTTACCTCTTTTTAGGAAATGCACTCTTCCTATCTGGTAAGTAACATCCTACTTTCACATAAATATAACAAGTATTCATTGGTCAATCACCTCCAATCCAGCTTGCTGATTGGTCAGTTCCGACCAATCAAACCGCCTGCACGCGACCAATCTGTTTTCCCCCTCATATGCTAGGAGCCACTTGACCATTATATAAACCGAACACGTGTGAACCTTTTTGGAAGAGGAGTAGCTTTCTTTTCATTCATCTCTCTCGCACGTCTCATTCCTTGCTACCAAGTGCCAAGATGTAACCTTCACCAACTTCCGTCTTAGTCATTGCTGGCCAGACGTTAAAGACAATTACCAACATTCAAGAACTCTGAAATCACTCCTGAACTTTTTTACCAACTTAGTTTAAACTCACAATTCCAAACTTTCTTAATATGAACTCCGGTACAACTAATACCTAATCAAAGGGACACGACTCTGTCCTACCTTTTCAGTTCGCATTCATGTACATCAAACATTAATAAATCTAATTGTTATGTTTTGGAATCATTCAGTTCAGTTTTGTATTTTATTCTATGTGCTATTTACGTCAAGTATAAATTGCATTGCTTTCACGCATTGTCCTTAATCTCATCTTTCCTAGCCCAAGTTAAATAATGGTAACTCAATCACTACAACGATGATAATACAACAGTTACATATTTGATGATCCCGTCGGAAATAAACAACAATGGTAACACATATCACTACACATTGTATTTATTTAACAGATTCCAAATACTCAACCAAGATGGTGGTCATGGAACCCAACTGGAGCCTACAATTTGCATCTTCCCAACAGGTTAGTAGTGAAAGAAATTCTTTATAATGAATTGAAATTCGGGTTTACCTAATGGTTAAAATACCTCACTAGTGTCAGTAATTAGTGTTCTAGTCTATACAAAAATCCAAGATTTCAAATGCTAATTTCGAAAGCAGGCAGACCTTCTTGATTTGGATGAATGGTGTCATCTTACTACCACCTTTCATTTGACCTTGAACCATACTAATACTTAGTAAATATGAGATCTGTCAGGAAAATATCCAGCCATTTAATATTAACAGAAAATACCTTGATTAATAGCACCTTAGTCCACTTCAAATACTCTCCTTATGAACTCATGCATAGAGTCCTTTCGACTTTTTAAAGTCCTCTTTCGGGATTGCTATCATAATAATGACGATTCTGTTGCTAAGGAGTCATCATCAGTAAATGTGTCCATGAAATAATAATAAAATGTGACAATCATGGAATCAACTTACAGTAGATGAAATTTTTTTCTTGTTAGACTAGGACTAATGAGTTTCTTCCTACATTGCAAGACTCTAACTTTGGATCAAAATTAGTTTTGTCCTATGTTCAGAGAGACAACTGCTTCATAAAATTTGTTTTTGTAGCTATGCTGCATTTTCTTTAATCATGTCTATGGTCTGAAATAATTCTTTCGGTGGTGAGTTTAGCTTTAGAAAATACCAGAATTTGTAGGTAACAGAATCTGGACTATTGTGGAATGGTTGATTGGATATTTTGCAAAATACCTGCACAAAATGCTACTGGGCATACAAGAATAGTGTCTCACTGCAGACTGAGTAATTGCATCAAAGTGCTTCTATTTACATTTGCATGGTAAGATTCCATCTGATTGTCACATTAGATCAGTTCTAGAGATAACCATAGTGGCTGGATGATTTCCATACAAACTTCATATTATCAATTATTTATAAGTGTGAAGTATGGCTAACTGTTGTGGCCTTATTAGGGCCAGAAATAAAGACACAAAGAGGAATTGAGTTAAACAAATATATTAACAGAAACAGTAATACAAACATATACAAACGAGAGTGTTACAGCAAGAATGTTCAGTCAGACTGTCAGAGCTGACTGCTGGAAACTTCACTCTCCCAAAAGGCAGTACCTGCTCCTATTTATATCTGGTAGAGTTCATGGGTGCGTGGGTCAATTACCATAACACTAACATAGTTGTATATTTGCTGGGGGAATGCACAATGGTGCTCTGAGTACAAATCTGTTGTCCTACTGCAAGGAAACAGTTATCAACAACCTATGTTGATACTTCCAGAGTCACATTTGCCCTGTTCTGCACTACAGACATTGGTTGGTCTTCCACTATCGTCCTTAAAATATGTTAATTATAGCAAGTGTTTGTTCTACATAGTTATTCAGAACCTGGTCTATGATTGTGAAAATGTTCATTTAACCACAGCGGTCAACATCAAAGTACAATTGTTATGTCACAGTGCATATGTGCAAGAATTACCCAAAATGACAATCCAAACTTTTGAAGACCCACAGTCTTACCTCTTTCAAACAGCTTGAATTCAGCAAAAAGTGCTCATTTAAATTATCTGTGGCATGACAATTGTACTGGATTATTTCACTACACTATATCTTACTGTAATATACATCACTGTGCACTGGTATGAATGTTACTATGTCACAAGATGGCCCAAAACATTGAAAGTGTTATGACTATCTACTACTAACACTTGGCATCCATATACCAGGTGAAAATTGTGATACAAGATCAAATACAATTTCTTTGTTATTATAGTCACAGCACTTTGACTATAGCACTCTCTGGCCTTCATCAAGTCTTGGTAATCTGGGAAATTTCATCAGCTTTCTTAAATTCACAGGGTAAATCATTCTTATAAATTCAGTAGGCTAAGCATAAAAATGATCCTATTATGGGAGGCTTTGCTTAAGAAGGAACATATATTAGCTTTAAAGCTCCCAAATTCTATTATCTGATAGCCCACTGGGAAAAAAAGTGTTAATTAAATGCATCCAGTTATTTGTTTGTGAGTTCAGTCCTTGAGTCAGATGGTGAAAGTAATATAATCTAGTTAAGTAGAAACAAAACAAAAGTGGCATCATCAGAATAAATTGATGTTAGCATTGACAGTAGAATGTGTACTTATAGTGTTGAAACACCAGTTACCATATGATCACTGAAGTTAAGCAATGTCAAGCCTGGTCAGTAACATGATAGGTGACTGCTTGGGAATACCAGGTGCTGTAATCTTGGATGTGCAGGTGGTGTAATGGATAATGGCTTGGAATTATTAATCAGAGAGACAAGTTCCAATTTCAGTTGGGTTCATTATATTCACTAACACATATTCTTTGGAAAGATATAAATCCATCTATTCTCCCCTCCAGCTATGGGTTAATTAGTAAGACTTGTATCATGAAAACATTATCTCAAAAAAAAAAAATCTTACAATCTGAAAATATTTTCTGGCTTTAAATAATTTACAAAGGGTTGATAAGCCATAGAAAATGAATTGATCAAAAAAAGAATATATTCTGATTAAAAATTCCCAGGACACTTACAAAGGATTAAAGTGTGTGATGGTCAAAAGATTTTGATGAAAAACAACTAGAATGCACTCAGGGAGGGCATCCTTGTTCCACTGGGATTAGGGTGGAAAGATAAATTATATGAGACTGGCAGCTGAAAAGTTGAAATAACACAAAGCCGACATGAGACATGGTAAACTTAACAGCTATCTTCTTCTGCCACTTGATTCATTTTGCTCCCAGCATTCCCTAGTCAGACTGGAAGCATTTACAATTACCATAATCATAATCAACATTATTGATGTTTTTATGAACAATACTTATTTTAGGTGTTATAAAATAAAATAAGACATATCTCGGCTAATTTGCAGGCAAATAAACTAACATACTCAAGAGCGAGAGCCGGATGTGAATGGGACAAGGCCCCGTCACAAAATGACCATTATCGTCGTTTACGCATAGGCCCAACACACGAATTCCAGTCAAAAAATGAAATAATATTTTAAAGTGTTCCTATTTCTCAACCAATAAAAAGGCTTCCCTCCTAATTATACTTGCATCATTTTTCAAGACTGTTAAGCCATAAAAAACGCCATAAAAGGGGTCACACGGGGAAGTACAAGCAGTCAACAAGAGGGCAGGGAAGAGATATGTCACGGTCAGTCCGGGCAGTCAGTAGCAGTCAGCAGGAGGAGCACCACGCCAACCAGTGAGAACTACTATGAGAGATCAACCCAGATCGGCAACCGGCTTATGAACTATACCACAAGGTAGCTGTCCCAAACCCACATGTTCCTATTGAAATAAATCACGTAAATCTATTTCTACTGTTGTTGTATTTCTTTCTTGCAACCATACACTTATCTATAACATAGGTTTGTTTATTATCTCATAGGAAAGTACTGATTTATTGCAATAATTTCCATAACTTTTTATGCTTAGGTGGGGTCTGCTACAGTTTCGAAAACGATCTTCAAATGAGACGTCTATGCTGAGCTTCATTCCAGATAGATACAGACATATTTACCATACACTGAGTGTGGTCTTTGAAGCTATGCATGTGAGTATAATGCTTCTGATTATCTTATTGATGTTCGTTATAAGAGGTGTATGTATATGTATATTGCTGTAACCTCCTGATGAGTGAACTGAAGGATTACAAAAAGGTTCATCTATGAAACTCTGGAGTCGAGATGCTGAATATAACATCAATCAGCTAAGTGATAAATTTTATTTGTATTAATCATATATATATATATATATATATATATATATATAATGTCTGAATCTCTGTGATAAGGAGTTATTATCTACATACAGACTATTGTCATCATCATTGTTATCATATTTTAGCTATTGTGCTCTCTGGCCTTCAGCAGGTGCTTTTGATCCAAGTAACCTTCAGGAATTTTGAACTGAACCCATTATTTAATCTATGGGATTACTAACAAATTGTGACATCTATCAGAGAGATGAAATTTAAATTTTTATTATTGCATTATTCCAAAATTTTAACACACATTAATGTCAACAACTGAGCACAAATAGTTATTAATTAAAAAAATGAGTAATGTATAATATTATCCATAACTAGATGTACAAGAATGTTGTTTTTGATAAAAGTTAAAAAATAACCATAAATACATAAAAAATGTGTATATTGTCAAAAATTCCTTTTTCCACAATATAGCTAATTGTGCTATGTTATAATGATTATTACCTAAACAATAATAATACTGAATAATTTTTTTTAAATTATATTTAATCATATCTCCCCAATAGTTAACATTTTAAATATAGGTCATTGTTAATCATCAACCGTTTTTAACTTGTCTTGACTGGTATATGTTTCCTGTTTCCTCTACTACTTTTGTGTTTCTTTCTTTTTTTTTCTTTTTATCTCTTTCTTAAATGCCTTTTCCCTTATTTACTGTATTTTCCTCTCTTTTTTTTCTTTCTTCTTATCCTTTTTAATTTTCAGTTTTTTTTAAAAAAAATTACTATTCATTTTTTTATGAAATGTTTTAGTATTGATAAGCTCCAGGGAATTCCTCTCTCTAGGAGCAAAATGGCCATATAAATGGGGTAAAATTAAGTTTTATTTTTATGTAATTCATTTCTATGTTCTATAATAAATATATTGAGCTGCCTTTTGTGCATTAGTTTTAATATTTTATATTATTAGGATTCACTTGTATTACTTACCCACAGATTTTTACCTATATATATATATATATATATATATATATATAGATAGATAGATAGATAGATAGATAGATAGTATTAATATATAAGTCAACAAATCAAAACCTACCCACATTTCTCACCCACACAAGACAGACATGGTTACGGAGGTGTTGAGGGCTTATCTTTTTATACACACACCCACACGAATATATACACACTTACACACATCATACTCACTCACTCTCTCTAAGAACCAAATAAACACAAACACTAAACAGAGACACATCCCTCACCAGGTCCAATAAAACTGTCAAACTGACCAGAGAATTCATTTTAAACATGTATCTGTCCAGCTCTTATCTCAAATAACAACTTAAAAGAGACTGTTTGACCAACACAAGGAATGTTAAAAGATTCATGTTAAAAGATACAAAAAATAAAAAAACAAATGAAAACTACAGACAAAAAGTTCATTTTCTCCAGCAAGATATTCATTTCTGTAGTTTAGTGCTAACAGCAAGTCAAGAAATATTTCTCCTCCCGATGATGGCCATTTTGGTCGAAACTAGTCGAGGAATCTAAATGGAATAATAATAAAAAAAAACGAAAGAATATTAATCTACAACCCAGTGTGTCTAAAGATTTTATTTTTTAATAATTTTTTATTGTTCAAAATATATATATATATATATATATATATATATATATATATATATATATATATATAAGGAAAAGAGAGAAAAAGATAAATATAAGGATGATATAGAAATGTAAAGAAGCTAGACAAGATATTTTTAATAATCAGTTCGACCAAAAAAATAGTCTATGAATTAAGTTTTTCCAATGAAACATAGATTCAAAATTCAATGAATACATATTATATATTTAAAACAGAATTTTAATACAATGTAATGACAAACGGTTGATATTTTTGCTGAAGAGGGGGTAAATTTTAAAAAACAATTATTTAATATTATGTAAATAATTTTTTTTTTTTAAGAAATAAAAAAAGGAAAAATCAGGAAAAATTTATCAAAATTACAAAACTGAAAATAGAAATTAAATCAAAATACTAAAATAAATAAATGAACTAACCAAAACTTTAAAGTACATAAATCATATAAATAAGTCATAGAAATAATGAAATAAGATAATAAATTATATAAAATTATACTTAATAGATTATAACAGTTAACTAAACAGTTTTTATATGTGGTATTAATAAAACAAAACAATAGAAAATGTTAAAATGTCAGCTGAACATATAAACCTCCATAAAAATATTACTAGTAATGTTAGGGGAATAACATACATACTATTCTACCTGAAAAAATCTAACTTACTATGGATAAGTTTAAAATGTTTACAACAAGGTAATTTATCATAAAAGAAGTGATTATTAAATTTTAAAGTTTAGCAAGATTGTAAGGTCAAAGGTGAAATATGCTTACAATTCACAGTTCAAATCTTTAATTTAACAAATCATCTCTATTTAAAAATCTGATTATCTGCATTTTCTCCTGTAAACACAAAAAACAAGGTTCATATAAGGATCTACATGTTCTAGCTAGTTTTAAAATTTTCCATTTAATTTTAGAGGTTTTATTTTCCTTTTTCAACATCGAAAAATATTTTGAAAGTGAAGTTCTATTTCTATAAGTAGTATTAATAAAAGAAGATAGGTACTTATACCAACAATCTTTGAAAGTGTTCTGTGTGCTGCTAATATAAAACTTTTCAATCCTCAGATTTTCTATTAAGGAAATAGAACCCATATACACAAGAGATTTAGCCAAGCATTTGTTAGACAATGGGCATTTGTTAATATTCCTACAATTACATTGGTTGCTGTCCTTAACCTTATTAGAATTAGTACTTGCATTATGGTTATTATTGTTAAATTGGTTAAGTGTTTTATTGTTGTGTAACTTTATTATTTTACAAGATTATTAGTACAACTATAGCTAAGTTTTAATGTATTCCTATTCCTAATTTTACTAATGGGATTGCTTTTTCAAAAATGTTTGTCAATTAAATTCAGCGAAAACATCAACTGTTCATTTGTCATTACATTGTATCAAAATTCTGTTTTAAATATATCATGCATCTGTTAAATTTTGAATCTGTTTCATGACCTCTTACTTAACATAGATTATTTTGATTGGCTGAACCAGTTATCAACATATCTTGTCTAGCTTCTTCACATTTCTATGTTATCCTTACATTTATCTTTCTCTCTTTTTCCTTTTCTTTGGAGAAGAGATGATATCTTGTGTCTTTCTTTCCTTCTCGCTCTTCTTATTTTATTTTCTTTCTTCTTTTTCCTTTTTGTCTTTTTTTCTTTTTTTGACTATATCGTGTATTTTTCTTTCTTTTTTTCTTTTTAGGAGAGACTATATCTTATATCTTTCTGTTTTTCTTGCTTATTTTCTTTTTTCATGGGAAAAGTGATTGTAAGTAAATATTAAAAATTGTAATAACCCTCATTTACTACCACCTGATGAGATACAATGATATGTATCAAAACATGAATGCATTTATGCAGTGGTTTTACATATGTTCGAATGGGATATCCTATAATAAAGAATATTGCTCTACTATTGTATTGAGCACTATCTTTAAATTAATGTTGTGAACATTTGAATTTATATTTGATTCGTTCTCATTTCATTTGCATATATATATAATATATATATATACACACATACATATATATATTTACATACATATATACATATAATATATATAACTCTATAATATATATATATATATATATATATATATATATATATATATATATAATACTGTTAAATATAACAGACAATGAATGTCTATGATGTCTGATCATGAGCCGTTCTAATGTTTGCTTTAATTTTGGGTAAAAATAAAAATAAAAATTGTCCAACATTTGGATATTTTGGTCCTTAATCTAAGTTTTCAGTTCACATGAGCCAATGCTTAATCGTTATACGGACATTTTAACAAAGATATTCACCATTGAAGATAATATTTTGTTATGTTGACATAGAAGATTGCTATGCAACAGAATAGCAGACACAGTTCGTAAGTTCAAGATGCGGTTCTATAATGTCATAGTACACAAGCGGCCAAAATATTAACAACAGAACCATATGTCTAGATGCAATGTGTTGTGACTAGTCTGAAATGTAATTTTGATGAGTGTGGGTTGCTGTTTTAATGTAGATGCCCTCCAATATCTGAAGGCTCTTTTTATTGTGTGTATGTGTGAGTATTATTGTTTTATCAACTAATATCTGCCTAATATTATGTACATGGCTATGTTTTTCTAAGAAATGTTGTTTAATAGAACTAAGATCAGAAAGGTGACATTATATATATATATATATATATACGCGCACACACACACATACACAGTGCCATGGATAAATTGTCGCCATTTTATATTTTTAATTTTGTGTCCGCACATTGTTTTTGATTTTGTTGACTGCACAGTATAGTAGGGTGAGTTGGGCACCGTCTGTGAGAAAAAGAGTACCATGATGCCATTCACTCTGCCAGAAATTTGGAAATGACATGTTGTACTGCTTGGCATTTGTGTTAGAAGCTCCAATACAAACATTTCAGAGTGTTTGGGTGACAGTGCAGAGCATTTGGAAAGACTTGGATGAGTCTAATGGTGATTACGAAGGTGTTTGGTGCAACCACTAGTGATGTTGACATCATGCCTCCATTCATCTTCCCACAGGGCCTCAGATTCAACATGGAGGCCTACGTCAAGTGCCTTGAAGACATAGTGCTGCCCTGGGTCAAAAGGCTAGCTACTGGAAGACCCTATGTCTCACAACAGGACTCTGCACCATGCCACACAAACAAGAGTACCCAATCATGGGTGTCAAAGAATTTCTGTGACCACATCACCCCTTACATTTGGCCACCTAACTCCATAGACTGCAACCCCCTTGATTATTATGAGTGGAATGCAGTTGAGTGAGAAACCAATAAAATTCCTTGTAACACCAAAGATGAACTGAAAGCAAGGATTATAGCAGCATTCAACAACTTAAGCAAGAAGAGTATAGTAGGGTCAGTTGGACACCATCTGTGAAAAAAGAGCAACTTGACATAATTCACTCGACCAGAAATTTGGAAATGGCATTCACCAACTTAAACAAGAAAACCATCCAGAAGAGTTGCAGGAGATTCCAAGGTCATCTGGAGGCTGTCATTGAAGCCAATGGCGATTTTATTAAATAAATTTACTCTTTAGTACTTCAAGATATTTTTGTGTAATTTTGGTAAATATATCTGTTAAAATGAGATGTCAGGGTTATTTTCATTTTTGCATAATTTAGATGACAATTTATCCATCACTCTCTGTGTATTTGGGCAGCAACCCATCTTTTATGTAAGTTTCATTAAAAACAACTAACAAGGTGCTGGGTTATGATTTTTATTTAATTTTTCCTGTGGTCTTATAATTTTCTCCCTAAATTATGTAATTGTCCAAATATTCTGTATGCCTAAGCACTTTTGGCTATACTTTTAGCTATTTTATTTTTAAAATAAAGTAGAAGTAAAATCATCCTTGATAATGGCTAAAAGTATAACTGAAAGCTCTCAGGCATACAGAACATTCGGATAATTTCTACATAATTTATGTCCAGAAAAGAAGAACACAAAAGAAATTAAATAAAAACCTTACCTGCATTACCTTATCAGTCATTTTTAATGAAACATATGTGTGTGCATTTCTCTCTTCCCCAACCAAATAAGTCTCAAATTTTGTACTGCACCCTTATAGGGCAGTGGTTACTTTATTCCTTATTTCGTTTTTTTTTTAATTTTCCAAGTGAAAATTGGTGCACATTCTCAAGACTTAAGCAAACATATTTTTGTGTTTACCAAATGCTTCAACAAAACTTGTTTTCTCTCCTTTTCCTAGAAATACAGAGCTTTGTTTGGCCACTATGTCAACAATTTGTCTCTTTTGGATCTGCCACCCTATATAATGAACAGAAAATGTATTCCTAAACCAGAAATCACCCTTGACTGGCGTGGTTTTGTTGTATCTCTGACCCCAGATGAGCCAGGATTGGAGTCTATGCATATCAGGGCAGATCGCTTTGTTTGGTTTGGTCATATAGACAAGCTTGGAAAGAATTATTGAAATTTTTATTAACTGTATTGAACTCATAATTATTGTATTAGATCAGTAATTATCTTAATAAATTTATTTTTCTTAATTTCAATTAAAATTTTATTTTATTATCATTATCTTGTACTTAGTGTACAGCTTCTGATATCACAGGTAGGATCTATTAAATAAATGTCAATTTTCATTCACTCTGATAATTCCATATATTAATGATATACCTGGTAGAAGTATAAAAAAAAAATTTACATGGTTGAATTTGTTTGAATTTTAAATTCTGGTTACCACTGAACCCAGTATAACAGACATAGTTTGGAAAATTAAAATTAAAAAAAAAATTAAATTTAAAAAATAAAATAAATCATTACCTCCAGGTTTTACTGCTACTTAAATCACTTGTCCACTTGTTGAGGGGATTTGATGAGAATAGTTAAGTTTACAATTTTTGATCTAAAATTAGTTTTAGCAAAGTTTTGACACTTAATCTGTATGTGAGATGTAATATACTGCTAGTTTCAGCTAACAAGGTGATCTCAACTGAACAAGTTACCTAATGTGCTACTAAATGCATGTTCCAGGAGCCTACAGTCTCCTGGAACATGCATTTAGTTTTTTGGGGTTTTTTTTTTTCAGTAAAATAAAAAATGGTCATTTTTTCATGTGGTTTGCTATAATTTCATCTTTCTGATATTTGCTGTCTGGACTTGAGAAACCTACTTTCCTGAAAAATTGTTTTAAAAAAAGATTTTATAAACTTCAGTCAATAAATACCAAAGTTTTCATGTAGGAAAAGGGGCTGATATTACCATTACCATAACCAATGGGACAAAAATCTAAAAGATGCTGAACAAGGATTTTGCTAGATTTCTTTTTGTCTTTACATTGAAAACTATAAGATCTACTGTATATCTGGAGATTCTTGACAAAAAAAAAAAAAAAAAAAAAGGGGGTCCATAATGTAGTTGATCCTGACCTGGCATATGGACCTGTTACTTTCCCACCATTGTGACATGGTTTAAAAAAAAAAAAAAAAAAATTATCATAATTATTCTAATGAGCTGTCCTTTTGGTGATGCAACTGCATTAATTTACATGTACTACTAAAAAGGCAACTAGGTTTTACTGTTGAACCAGCTAGAATCAACCATAAGTTCTATTTTAATAATTTTCTTGCACATCTCACCTGTGAAACATTTTTGCAGTTTCTTGCTTCCACCACCTGCAATCTTCAAAAATTTAAATGCAACACCAATTACCATCTTTCAGTTCTTTTATTGTCCTTTCTACTCAAACCCTTTTTGTTTTCTTTCACTCCCAGTACCCATCTCAGTGGTTTTATCACCTTGCTTGGGTTGACATGATTAAAAACAATTTTTAAAAAAATTTACAGCATTTTTCCCCAGCTTTCTTAATTTTTTTTTTTAACATCTTAAGCTCAATATTATATAGTCATATTTGCAGGTCTACATACTGTTTGTTGCTATCATCTGTCAAATAGCTTTTTTTATGAACAGGCCAGCACTCAAAATTAACATAGCCTCATTATCCCTCCAATCCAGGACATTAAAACATTAATTTGAAATGATTGCTTAGATTTTTTGAGATGTTGTCATAATACAAAATTACTTTTGATAAACAGGTTTAGCTGTTTTAGTAGTCATATTTTGGTATTACCAACTTACAGTAATATATATATTTTTTGTTACTCCCCTTTTTCAATGAATGTTCTTTTAAGGTCTTTTTATTATTGTAATAAAAGTTTGTGCCTCTGAAAATATTTAAAATTATTTTTAATTAAAATCCTGTATATTCTAAGAGCATTTTTTTTTTTTAAGATAAAAATAGTGCTGGGCCTTTAATTAAATCAAGCTTACACACAAGATAAGCACTTATTTTTAAATTGGCGGTTGAAACCCCAAATAAAAAATGAAGGTTGAATGACTAATTTAGATATTTGTCTTATTTATCTCTAAATATGAAGAATATGAATATTTGATTGTTTATTAAATTAAAATTAATTCTAACAAAGCAAGAAAATTATTTTTTTTTTTCCTTTAAAAAAGTTTAATGAACATTTATAAATTATCAGTAATACCCATTTGAATTTCTCAAGCTAATGATTGAATAAGCTCATAGCGAGTTCTATGACAATAAAATATCCTTAGAAATTCCTTATCGGATTGTTAAATATTTGTTTAACAAAAAATTGCAATAACACTCAGAAGTATGAATACTGATCATCATTTTAAAAAGGGGGTACAAAAAATATATGAAACTGACAACTTAAAATGCTGTTAAACACTTCCATTCTTTTATTTTCTCACTGAAACCAAGTAGCATCTATGATAAGTCTTTTCTGTCTTTACAAAACAGATTAAAAACAAAAAAAAAAAAAAAAAAACCAGATCAAAACAGAATAATCCATTATTTATGAGGTAACGGTCATGCTGTGGGACAAGAAGAATTATAAGATGTTTTCTGCTTATCACAAACTAAATTGAAAAAAAGGGAAAATTTCTAAAATGAGAAACAAAAATGTAAAATCTCATCACAACTCAAGGCAGGTAACTCTAAATGAAAAACTTTTTTTTTTTCTTTATTGCGGTATGTGCTACAAGAGTTGGATAAAATTTACTCTGAACAGGAAAATTAACTTATAAGAACATTTTTGTGCCAAATTATTCAAGGTGACTTAGTATTTTTATTTGGTTATTTTTATAAAAATTACAGTAAAATTTAACTATTTTGTTTTTGCATATATTCATTTTTAAAACTTTACTATTTGAGCTTTATTAATTTATTTCCTAAACATTCTAAGTGTTTTTACTAACATAATAAAGTTATAAAAAAATTTGTCAGAATTTCTGGGATGAGCTATTTATATTTGGACTATTGTCTCATCTTTGTTATCACCGTGTTTCAGCAATTGTGCCTTCTAGCCTTCCTTTCTGGATAACCTACAGGGAATTCTGAATTGAACCCTTTATTTGATCTACAGGGGTAGACTGGTCTCGTTACACTACTCATGACTAGAGATATCGCCGAGTTCTTATTTTTATTTAGTACTGTTCAGTTATTGCTCACACATTTCCACTGAGTGCAAGTACACACTGCCCAACCAAGGAATTGAACTCACAACCACTGTCACCAAATTCACAAAACAACAGTTTTATCCACTATGGAACAATGGCCTAGCATTGTCTCATGTGCTATGAGAAGCAAATTTTAACAGTATATCACTGAAGATGCAGGCTTCAAACAAGTTAAAAATCATTAAAAATGTAATGTCATATAGGTAGTCTTTAAGCAAAAAGATAATACTAATGGAATTAATAATTCTTAGATCAGACCAGCATAAACATTTTGAAAATTTAATTCTCAAAAACAAAAATTGTAAAAATATGACTGATCATATAAATTTCATTTCAATAGTTAAATCCTTCCAACTTCTTGCTATGATTCACAGCACAACAGGGATGAAGCTATTTTCTTCAGTAGTTTTATATATATATATATATATATATATATATATACACACACAAACATAAAAACAGCCAAAAGCCCAATTTGACAGTAGGACAAAAAAAGTCAAAAGTATACCATACTGAACAAGTCATAAGAAAGTATCTATTGTAGCTACAAGCTTAAAACTTTAAAAATTTACTAAATTTCAGATGAAGAATTACTCTTTTTCACTATAAATAGCAATACTTTTTGTAATATATGTATCTTATTTTAGAAATTGTGAAATTATGTAACTTTCAGCTCTTCAAAAACAGGATAATAATTACAAAACTTAGACATTTGTTTTACAAAAGGAAAAAAAGAGTATGATAGTGTTTTAACCTTCAGTCTTAAACTGGTTGAAAAGAATTTCTGAACATTGTGAATGGTTCTCCTGATGATGACTTGTTGGCAATTTCCTAAATTGCTGAGATGGCTCATGTCTGGAACATTCCATATCCAGCCAAAGTCCTATCTGAAGACAAATGTTGATTCCACTTGTGCAATATAATCTAACAAAGGCCATTAGAAGTAATTTTTGCTCTTTGATGAAACTAAAACTATCACAGCATCAAAAAGAGATGCAATATCAATGTCAAAGTTGGTGTTTTAATATACAATCCATTAGTATTGGTGCTCATAAGTGAGTCACAGGAAGTAGTTCTTTGTCACAATTGCTCGAGTTGTTTAAATACCCATATTTTAGTAGACACACCGTTTATTCTAAACAAGATGTGCTAAAAGGTAGATACAGCATTGCTTAATCATGATGCCCTTTGTAGCAAAGTTAAAGTATGTTGGATTTAACAGTTTCTCCTGCAAAACGGGATGCAGATTCATATCCTGCTGTAGGGTGGATTTTTCTTTAAGATTTTTTGAATATTCAGGCCGGTAGATGAAATAAAATAGTATTTTAAATAAATGAAGCATCTATTCAAATATGGGTATCCACTCAAAATAACGTTTAAAGTAATGAAAACGTCTGATTAATAAAGAAAAATCCACTACTTTAGGAATTGCTGTGCATGTGTGTATATATACATTCATATCGAAAAATTACATAACTATGCCCTCTATAATCTTTCACTTACACAGTAAGTTTTTTAGAATATTTTAAAGCATTGTTTAATTCAAAAAATAGAAAACTTAGTGTTATTTTTATGCACATTATAATATATACAGGTTACTAAATAAAATTATTTTTGCCTTAAAGTCTTGCAAGAAACAAAACATGTTGGCATAAAAGGTCTCCCTCATATGGTGTATATATATATATATATATAACATACACACAAGTTTCGTCAAAAACAACTGACATGGTGCTGTGGTTAAGTTTGCGTTGTTACATATATTTTCTTTTCTTTTTCAGGGCATAAATTATATAAAAATTGAATGTTTTATATACCCAAGTGATTTCAGCTATACTTTTAGCCATTATTAAGGATGAATTTTATTTTACTTTTAACTGAATATATGGCTTGTTATATATATATATATATATATATTAGAGAGAGAGAGTTATAAGAACATTTTATATTCCAAACACAGTCAGCACATTGTAGCCATGTTCATAGTTGATATCATTGAGTGTTGGCTTTTTCTTTCTTAATAATAATGCTTCCATTATTTTTGCCTTTTTGTACGTGGATGATGCTAGTATATTTATATTATCAATAAGTATGTTACACACCTTTCAGTTGTTTTTAACAAAACTTGCATAAACAAGATTGCTACTCATTATATATATCTCTTGCACACAAAGATATATATTGGTCATTCCAGATCAACTCCACCAATATTTTCAAATGTGATAAGATTCCCCACCCCCACTACTTCTTTAATTTCTCCTTCCCAAACATGTCTGGGTTGAGATGATATATCAAGCAAACTCACACCATTAAAATTGTTTTAGATTAGTATTATATTCTACATCTGAATTTATTTTCTAGACTATTCTTTTAAATTTTTTTTTTTTTTTTTTTTTTTTTTTTAAGTGGTTACTCTATTCTCAAAATATTACAGCAATGAGCATAAACTAGGTCATTTTCACCACTATCAAATTAATATTGGCAGTTAAATTCACTGGCATTAATTTCAAGGGTGAAAATGCCATACCCAGTTGGAATTTTTCAGAAAAATAATCAAGGTATGTCAGTTTCTCTTTCACCAAGTTAGGTATAAATAAGTTTACTTTTAAATTTTTAGGAATGAAAAATAAATCAATTATAACTCCCAAAAATTCAATTCCTAAATTCAATTGTCTACATCATATTGGTCATGTATATAAAGCATATAATTTTTTTTTTTTTTAATTGTAGTGATTGTAAATTTTCATTAACACCTAATTATTTTGGAAATCAACATTTCATACATGGCAATATCTCAAATAAGTCATTTTTTTTTTAATTAATTTTTTACTATTTTTTTTATTTATTTGCTGAAAAACTCAATAGCAATTTTTCCCTATTTTGAGATATTTGAACTATTTTGTAGAATTTCAGTTAAAAAAATACCTTATATATCAGGCTATAAGGAAATGATTCAGATAGACACCTTATCAGAATGCAAAACTATAAAGTGCCAAAGTTGGCAAATCATGCTGACTCATGAAAATCCAAGCCCCCCCCACAAAAGGCTATAAATTCTGAACTATGGGTTGAATGATAATTACATTTTCCATTTCCTCAAATATGGGTATTACATCCTAAAACTACCAAAATCTGAGATGGTAATCATGGTATCGACAGTTGAGGTGATTATATAAGAGTTACACGATGAAATTTGTGAAGAGCGGCACTATATCGAGCATAATCCATTACTTCTTTGTCACCAAGGCCTGTTGGTATGACTTTGCACCGTATCATAATAGTCCAGGTTCAATTATCAGTGGTGGATGCGTACTGCTGATGAATCCCAAATATAGGACGAAATGGCCACCCAGTGCTTTTTGGATTCTGTTGAGGTTTCTTCTAAACTTGATAAATTAATTATGATTATTTCAAATCAGCTTAATTTCTACCACTCTCTCTAGAAGGGTTGGCAAAACATCGGTTAATTTCCAATTGATTTGAATTTTATAAAATGGTAAATAATAATGATTTCCTTATAGTTGGCTTACATATTTTAATAAATGTTTATCAATTTATGAAGAAAAAATTTTCATATTTATTTCTTTATAAAAATTCATTTTCATTATGTTTAGGTTTTATTACAAATCTAATCCTTATTTTTAAAAACAAACATAGCCAAAGAGTGAAGGTAGTTAAGACAATAGCGTTGTCAAGGGGAAAAACATCCCTTTGACACACCCGTTTTTTTTGTGGATATGAAAGTTAAAGATTTCCCAGTAAAGTTTATTTAATAAAATCTGCCTTCATATGCAATGCAGCATTAGAAAAAAATTTATATCTTGATTGAGTTGGGTTTTTTTTGTCTAAGTGCTTGGTATTATAGGTGTCACTATTTGGTTTCCCTCTTGACACTATGCTAGACATGGTAATCCAGGAGATTCAAATCAGGAGAGTTAGAAAGTCATACATTGGAGATGTCATGATCATGAAAATTCACAGCCAGCCACTCCTGGGTCCCTTAGAGCAGCAGAGTCCTGCTGGAATATGTATATCCACCCACTCAATCCAGGGATTGATCATTCCCCACACTGCAATATAAACAGTAGCATTGACTCTGATGACATATTTGTGAGTAACTGATCTGATTATTAAAAGTGTTGCTAACAACTGTAGTATGACATCACAGATTCCAACAAATACAACTGATGTATGTAAATAGAAATAAACGACATATCAGGTGGTCACTAAGGAAAAGCTATATGATTAAATTTGACTGAATCTATCTAAATACAGGAAATATTCTACAATGTATTTCTTCTCTAACAAAGCAGTTCTCAAAATTAACTTTTTGACCATCATGCCGATTTCATTCATTGCTACTGTAGATATACAGTCTTGAAAATTATTTCTATTAAATGAACTGTGTTGGTTGCATATTGTTGAAAATGTTTACAGACTTACAATTCAAATAACTCTTAAAGCTAACAAGAAAATTGAGAACCACACAAACTTAGTCACCTGATATTTCTAATAAATCATTTTAGTAAGATTCATTATAAACATATTTTATAACTTTTCCTCAATTAAAATTTTCTGAAAATGTTTACAAAGAAATTAAGGATACATAGGTTTACAGTCTTTATAAAATACTATATCTTAGGAATTTTTATAGAAACCTAGCAATAAATTAGGTTACTTCGTTTACATTCTTAAATACTTAAGGAAAAAGAAATAAACAATGCAATATAAATGTAATAAACTGGCAGATTATGAAAATATACTTGTTACTAATAATGACATTAATAACATTGCATCAGGAAAAGGTTTAATGGTCCTTGTTAAATCAGAAATAAATTTAAAAGATTACCAAAATGCTACGAAGAAGAAGATTTAAATGATTCTCAATCTTTAAAAATAATTTTATTAATTCTTCATGAATCATGATACAGATTAACATTAGACAGAATTTACAGACAAGAGTGGTGCCAGTGGTTGTAGGTGTATTCAAAAAGATTTGAAATTAATCTGGCAGTCTAAAAGAAGTGTATGAAAAATACAGGAAGTGTAAGCTTTTAAGAAATTAGATTTTGAATCAAAAACTTTGTTTCTTCATAGCAAGGCGTTAAACTGCAACATGAATTTTCCCCATTAGGATTCATAAGAATTTAAAAGAAAATGCATAATCTAGTAATAATAATAATAATAAAAAAAAAAAAAAAATCAGGGAAAGGTGGGGAAATAAAAAAAAAAATTAAAAATAAAATTAAAAAAATATACAAGAAACGAAATTAAAAATTCTTGTCCTCAATTAAAATGAAATAAAAATAGTTGAGAGCTTGATATTCTTTAAAGAAGGAAAGCATTTAAGTCCAAAATCAACATTAGCTGATTTGTTATCAACAAAGAGAGTATTTGTTTGCTTACTATAACATGCACAAATGTTTTATTTCTGTTTTTCTCAAAATCCATCAGAGGCAAGTCTAAGATCAAGCAGGTTTTTTAAGCTTAAACATCAACACTAATTCAGACTGCCAATGTAATACCAGATCTACATAGATACAGCCCCTGCTTGATGTGCCTCTTAATATATTAAATATCTTTAAAGACAACTGGAAAAAATATCAAAGAAAATTTAAATATGATTAAAACAATCAATGTATAATGTTAATGAAAGTGGTAAATCTTAAATTCGTACATTTTAAATACTTCAATTTCTTTATTTTAGCATTAATCTAATATTTTAGAACAAAATTTCTGCTATCATTATACTAATCTGACATTAACAAAAGTTTGTAAGAAATTTTCAGAATCCAAGTAAAGTTCTAGAAATTATGATTTTTCAGAACTGCAAACATGAGTGGCTAACACCATCATACATGATGAAAGGTTGCTACTGTACACTAATATATGTAAATTAAGCTGAAACAGTTTGTTGTTGGCATAAAATGTTTGAAAACATTCCAACTTATATATATATATATATATATATACTCAAATATGTAAAAAAAAAAAAAGAAAAAGGAGGTAACAAATGAAGATTTAAATTCAATTATCAGAATATTTATCACAAAAATGTCCCACATCTTGTAGGATTAAAAATGTGGCATGACTACCCCGCACCTAAAAAAAAACAAAAAAAAAAAAACACAAAAACAAAACAGAAAGCATATTGCCAAAAATGTGTACAAAAAAAAAATTAAAATGCAAAAAGCTATATTCTTAACATTTCAATATTAGAGAAATCCCAAAACATGTATGCCCATTTAGAATGTAATATAAGAGATTCCAATTTTCTTATGTAGATACACAAAACTGGTATCAACATTTTTCTGTTTTTTTGTTTTTTTTTTTATTGTCCTTAGATTTATGGCTTAATTCTTGTTTCTGCCTTTAGTCTAAGGATTTTAAAAATGAAGAAGCAAAATTATGTAGAAAGGCATTTTTGTAGAGTGACGCCAATCATTTTGGCCTTTTAACACAGGAGAAAAAAAAAAAAAAAAAAAAAAAAAAAAAAACACAACACAAGAACATTTCCAAGATCATCAAAATGAGTTATTTCTTTATGATGATTACAAATAATTGTCAAGTCATTAGCAGTGAATCTGATTTACATTATTTACAAAAGAACTCAGACCAAGTGACATCTACTTAGCCAAAAGAGGAAAATAAAATGGAGAGGGGTAGTGAGTGTATAATTTCATCGAAGGAAAGCTTGGTCAGGAATTTTGCCTTGGGCCTGTGAAAGATAAAAGTAAGTTTCAGAATAAGAGATGACCAAGAATATCATTACAATGAAATAATGCAGGATATAAACTTTAAATTAGTCCACTATTTAAGTACATTAGAGTGAGTTCAAAAAATATTTAGAACCACAACTTAATACCAGTAATGCAGAAATTAGGCTTCCAAACATCAGGTACATTTATGTTTATTTACATAAAATACTAAAACTGTCCCAATATGCATTTTATTTACCATTTTAAAGAGCATGACTTTTCAACAGATTTGTTGACTTACTCAATAGAGTTGAAACAAATTCCTGATTAATAGTTGCATAGCTTACCTTTAAATCCATGAATATTTGGGCAGATTTGTCATAATTCCATTCATTTTGTAGTAAACATCTGAAAAAAATGGAAGAAAAACTGATTATCAGCAACATTTAGAAAGGAAATCTCCATCCCATATAATGTTACTACAAATAAAACAATTTAAACTAAGCTTACAAATACAGTTACTATTGAATGCTAAAAATCAATCAATTAATGCTTCCCTAATTCTTCTGTACAACAACCCTACATTATCTGTTAACATCAAGTATTCAGAGAATGCATCAGTGATATGACAGCTCATAAACAATTCACCAAGTTCGAACAGTCATTTGATATATTTAAGAAACCTTTGGAGTTGCAATATGCAAATCATCAGATACTGTAATTGCAAATATCATACCACTATCAAAAAGACTGATGGTTGCCAACATTGTGGCAGTAAGATCTGAATATCAGCTTAAGGAAAAAGAAAAAAAAAAAAAAAAAGACTACATAGGATTAACTAATCTTTGTATATTAGAAGAAAAAAAGAAAATTGTGCATGAATGGGGATTTTAATGCTATCTCTCAAGTATTTTTGAACACCACTGTTCCTTTAGTGGTAAGAAGACATCAACTTTTGAAAAAAGTCTCAAAAACATCAATAGGGAGCTGTTAAATTTTTTTGTTATTCAAAAAGATATTCTATACTTAACACATAGTTCAACCATCCCATGAAATACTGCATCACACAGCAGAGCCCAGATAGTGTAAGAAAAAAAAAGATTAACTTCAGCATCTCAGACTCTTGGCTTAGGCAGTTTGTGATAGATGTTAGAGCATACAATTCCAACTTTAAATCTGATATTTTTTTTTAACTAAACTGGTGATGCCAAGCAACAAAATAAAATAGCTCACTTCTTCAGACAAAATTCAAAGTTAAAAAGATAAATAAAAAAAGATACAAGAATAAAACAAATAGAAAGGAAAAAAATAGTATACAATTAAGAATAGAAAGAAAAAAAAAAAACTAGTTAACTGAGAAACCAATATCTCTGGAAAATTGTAAACAAAAAGTCACACAGCATAGACAATGTGTTAAAATGTGAAGAAAAGCAATAAATCATGTAATCAAAGCCAACACAGAAGAAATGTTCTGGCCTCAAGAAACACAGACTTGCATTTCAACCCTGACCACACTAAATTTCAGATGCCCACAGAAATAGAACATACCAATATATATATCCAATCAATTCAAAGCCAGTCTCCAAACACAAATAATAATGAACCTACTGATGAAGAAAGCTATTAAAAAACTAAGGAATAATAAAGCATCACTTGATATCAAGGCTGAACATTTGAAAATAAATTTCTCACCAAATTCAGTTATAAGTGTCTCAATTTTATAAAGAAAGTCTGGAATAGGAAATGCATTCCAAAAAAAAAGTGGGGTTTATCATGCATTAATGCACTATGGAAACAAAAAGTTAGTCCTCAAGACCCATACAAACACAGAGGTATCTCCTCAATCGGATCCATTATGGTGAAAGTATTAATGAACATCATATTAACTAGGTTCTCATTGTTTTATGAAAGTCTTCTGGTAAGGGATAAAATGATGACATATATGTTATCAAACAACTCCAGGAAATTGCATACTGTTCTAATAGAAAATTGTCAACCTCACAGAAACATAACCACATCAAGAGACTTCCTCTTCTCCTCCATTAGAAACTACATTCCAAATTCTGAATTCACTGAGTGTATCAATCTAATAAAGGAATTTTGGTCTACAAAATCTTACATGTTTGGCATGGACACAACCAAAACATTTCAAACCTTATCAGAAGTACAAGGAGGAAATGAGAGCCCCAGTCTATTTAATCTTTTCTTGGGCTATATTTTGCACATTTACAAACACAGATATGTAGAGATGGGCACTGATCATTTAAGTATTCTATACCATATTCCAAATGAAGACAGTGATTCTCTTTTCCCTCCCAAAGCCAATGTACTGATGATGAGGTTTGGGGTGGTATTCATAGTTGAGATAACAATGATCTTGAATAGAAGTTCAACAATATCTACCAATTATTTCAAGAAATAGGATTCAAGAAACCTTTCCAAAACAGAAACTATGATCTGGAATTGGAATGAAAGCATTGATGGCACCTACCCTGAATCCATCATAAAAATTCATGATGTGGAATTAATACTAAACACTGCAAATACCTTGGTGTAGGGATCAATTATAACAAATTTAGTATAGGACAAAAGGAAATTGAACAAAATAGGCTGCACAAGAATTTTACCCAATACCACAAATTGCTACAAAGCTAAAACATTAACATGAAAACTCTGGTCATGTTCTTAAATAGCCTCATCAGATCAAGACTTTTAAATGGCTGTCATACATGGCACCAAACATGTTCAAGCCAAAAGAATGAAAAGTATAGGTTGAGCAAAATATGGAATAACCTTTACTTTTAAGGTTAAGCACAGAACCATCAAAATGGTAATAGCTAGTTAATAATAAACTGTTAATTTATACAAAACCCCAAAGACTAGTGAAATGTTGCACACACAAATAATTATGTACTTACTGAAATGAGTACTCAGCATTCATTCCAGACTGTGCTGAGAACTGAACAACCATTTGCTGCTGGGTATCTGTCAGGTTTGCCCCTGTGAGGCCTGGAGTTTCTAATACATTGGATGTAGATGGTTCAACAATACCACTTCCCCCTTGAGTTGGACTAGATGAAGGTGTTGGTGCAGGAGTCTTGAAAGCAGACTGGGAAAAAAAAAAAAAAAAAAAAAAAAAAAAAAAAAATAAAATAAAATGCTGTCATAACTTCAGTATAAAAAAAAAAAAATCTTCCTCACTATTAGTCAAGGGACAAAAATCAGAAGTTAAACAACCTCCATTTTGTCATTTTACTTTGAAACATTATCATGCATGTAAGATTGGCTTTAAAAAGATTAAGAGGTAAAATGTTTTGGACTGCTAGCAAATATCTGTATCAATTTATCCGATAAATTTAAAGAATTATTAAATAGAAAAATGGGCATTACTTGAATTTGTTCTTGTGTTGCATTTGTTATAGTCAGCATATCATTTATGATCACAATTCTGAAAATAGAAAAAAATTCTTTATAAATCTTTGCAATCTATTTTATACAACCTAAAATTAGAGATATGTATATTTGATAGATGTAGCCATTAAATAATTGTCATTTGACCTTTTTCAATACAATAAACACAACTAATTTCAATAAAAATAATGCCTTTCTGAACATTTATAGGAAAAAAAATTTTTTTTTTTTAATCATGTTCTAACTCTTCAAAATGCCCTGCAAAAACTTAAATCATACTATAATCAAGAGATTCCTAAAAGGTTAGATTGATAGCATCTTCCAAAATATTTATAAAAAAATTGTAATGAGAACATTGTCAAAAGTAACTAAAATTTGCTTTTGAAAACTTTTTTTTTTAAATGATTGCTTTAAATCTATAATTTTAAGATCTCATTGGCTGCCATATATTTTTCATTTAATCAAAAAGGAAAAATTAAAATTATGCAGGACTTTTTAAGCTATAATTGTGCAAATGTTCTTACCCTTGGCCCATAGGAGTGGTGATAAAGCAGCGACTGAATGCACGGATTGGAGGATCAACTTTGGAAGCTAGGGTAAAAAAAAAAAAAAAAAAAAAAAAAAAAAAAAAAAAAAAATTGTTTTAAATTGTAAACTGGATTAATATTCATGTACTGTTCAAAATTGAAAATTTTATAAATATCCATGTCACATTATCTTTTATAGTGTATATATATATATATATATTTTAAACTTTCATTGAGTCAAACAGGTGCAAAACTGATTAACATTCAAGATAAACAATTACTATCCACAAATATAAAATTATATGCATAAGAATTGTAGTCATAAAAAAAGAAAAACAAAAGATACTCACTTTCTTTAAAAATTCCAAAAACACTGAATATCAGTAAATTGCTCTAAAAAGAGAAAAAATCAGGATTAAAATTTTAAAAAGTTGAATGTAAGCAAATAATTATCAACCAAGCCAATGTTTGATTTTCCAACATTTTAGTTGAATATCAATATTGTGCAATGGGGGGGATACTCTAAAAATGTGCACATTTTTGTTTTGTAAAAATTATTCTTTTCTTGATAAAAAAAAAAAAAAAAAAAAAAAAACTTACTAAGAGTGAACATTATGACAAAAACAAATACAAATTTAGATAATATTCACATATTCCAATGTTATTTTTTCCCCTATGATAAAAAAATTAAATATTTCATATGCTTGAATTTCTTAGCACATTTTACATATTTTAATTTATATATGTTTTGCTTTAAAATCTATACAGGAGGTTAATGTTAATTTTTTAAACTAAATTTTTATATGACCATTAATTAAACCAGCTTTATTTTATTTCAATTTTTTTTAATTTTCACATTGCAGTCATTATTCTAGCAATATCAATACAATAGTCAGTAAAGCAACAAGACTGAAGGAGGCAGGGTTGAGAGTGGGGGTAAAAAACAAAAAAAAACAAAAAACTTACTGACAAATGCTGAACATCCAAACGCAATGAGTTTAAATCATGTTGAGTACTAGGCAGTAACCTTAGCTGAGAGACAACTTTCACTCTACCAATTTTTAATAGTTTTTCACGACGAGCTGAAAAATTACAAACAAATTTTCATTCAGACAAAAAGTACAGAAATCAATTATGTTCAGCAGTAACAGACCTCCAAATTTAAATTAGATACTCACCATCATTTATTTTCAGCAAATTTCTGCTGTCAGAGATATAATCTGTTAAAGATGGTTGTCTGAAATTGAAAACAAATTCAGTTATCAAGAATTTAACATTACCTGACATAGTAATTGTTGTGATGAGATAACCCAACTTCCCCATTCAAGATAATGGACGGACTGGTTGCCAATTAAGTACGACCACAGCGGACAGTCAAGAGGTCTCCGTTTGTTAACACCTATTGAGGTTAGCCTACTCCCGACTGTCTCTGTATTTGACATACCTACATCCGATTATAAACTTATTATTGAAACCCAACACTCGTGTTACTTTGTTTATTATATCTTGCACGAGATATAACAGCTGGGGGCGAGGATTGTGCAATGTACTTACTTGAAAAAAAAAAAAAAAATGTGTATATATATATATATATATATATATATCAGATTACGCTGAACGGATTTCGGAAGCAGATTCGCAAGTCAAAGATATCAGTTGACGCCAATTAGGATTTCGAAAGCGGAGTCACAAGTCAAAAGGAAACTTTTTGAAAAGTAAGAAAATTTTTACTGTTAAATTGTGATTTGAAAAATATATATTGAACCATGACTCAAATACGAGCTGGTATAATAATTGATTATTCAAGTAAAAATTACGGGTTGTAAAAATATTACGGCTGTAGTCTTAACCGTTAAAAAAAAAAAAAAAAAAAAAAAATTTTTTTTTTGAATTCTAAATAAAGTCAGGATGGAGCAATTAGTCGAAATGACTAAAATGCTGTGTACAAGCTTGCAACAGCAACAACAACAGCATCAAGTGTTACAACAACAAATACTGCAACAGCAAAAAAGTCTCAAAAAAATTCTGAAACAGGTGACTGGAGAAAGAAAAAATGCTGTTTTTTCTGCCGAAGGAATAGCAAATTCATTATCCGAATTTATTTATGAACCTGATTCGGGCATTACATTTCCAGCATACTTTAAACGTTTCAAAACTATATTTACCAAGAGATGTCAACATTGGTCGGATGAGGAACGAGTAACATTATTAGTCCAGAAACTAGGGACAAACGAGAATAGGAAGTACTCAAACTTGATATTGCCCAGAAAGCCAGAAGTTTCGTTTGAAGAAACTATAAGTATTCTGTCAAAAATATTTGACGAAAGGAATAGTCTGTTCCACACGCGATACAGATGCCTAAACATCGTTAAAGCAGATAACGAGGATTTTGTGACATACTCGGGAACGGTGAGCACTCTGGTTGAACAATTCAAGTTAGAAGAAATAACCAAAGATGTATTCAAGTGCCTAAATTTTCTTCAAGGACTAACTGATCCTAAATATAAAGAAATTAAGTCGAGAATATTAATAATGGTCGAGCAAGACTCGAAAATAACATTACAAAGGGTGACTGAAGAATGCCAACGTCTCATAAACGTAAAAAGGGATAATACACAAATTGAGGAAAAAAAGTGTTGCTAATGTTAGACACATAAAAACTCAAAAAACTCCAAAAGCCAAAAAGATAAAAAAATGTGAGACGTGTGGAAAAAATAACCATACCAAAGACACGTGTTGGTACAAAAATAAATTCTGCCAATGCGAAAATGTCACCAGCGGAAATTATGTTCGCAAGGAAAATTAGATCAATTTTTGATTGATTGTTACCCTATCAAAACAAAAAAGTTGCTAAGAAAGAGGAAAAAGTCAACATAAAAAAATACACTTCAGGAGACAAAGTTTTTTTTTTAAATTTTAAAAGTGGAAAAAGCTATTGGATGGATGGCATAATCCAGAAAAGGATTGGTAAAGTGATCTACACGATTAAAAGTAAAAAATTAAAAGACACATCAATCAGATTAGACCACGATATGGTGAAGAAAGTGAAAAAAGCGAAGAAGAAATTCCGATGGAAGTGTTATGCGATGCTTTTAACATGACACTACCCAATAGTGTATATGAACCTGTATCTCATGGACCAGCCTTACGGGCTGAAAAGCGGAAATTATCTTCGCCAAAAAAAGGATCTAATTGTGACGACTAAAAGAAGGAGCACACGGAAAAAAAAACCAGTGGAGCATTTTAGTCCGGATCCAAAAGAAGGCGACATTAGAAGCAGAAATTTTCAAAAGGGAGAATTTCAGCTTCGGGGGGAGGTGTTGTGATGAGATAACCCAACTTCCCCATTCACGATAATGGACGGACTGGTTACCGATTAAGTATGACCACAGCGGACAGTCAAGAGGTCTTCGTTTGTTAACACCTATTGAGGTTAGCCGACTCCCGACTGTCTCTGTATTTGACATACCTACATCCGATTATAAACCTATTATTGAAACCCAACACTCGTGTTACTTTGTTTATTATATCTTGCACGAGATATAACAGCAATTTTTATCTTTAATAGATCTTTAGAAGATCAATGTTTAGGCATTAAATCATAAAGACTGATCAGTCTTGGTAGTAGCAAAGTAATTCATGTTAAAAGAAAAAACTGCGAACCATGAGATGGTTGATTCAATTTTTATTTTGTATTTGGAACGGAGTCAAGATATCCATGTTGTGCAAGGGAATCACCAAAAAAAAAAAAAAAACTTTCAATCCTAAAACTCTTCAATTCATACTCTATAAAAAATTTTGTAAAATGGAAGGTAAGTAAAAAATTCAACCATAAGTAAATAGATACTGCCTGGTTTTTAAAATGTCATACTTATTTCTCTCTCTATAATTATCAAGAAAAATTTATACAAATTAATATTGTGAAAACCGATTTTCAATATACAGAACATAAAAATCTTTTTATTCACTTAAAAAGAAAAAAATACTTACTTTCCAAGAACACGGTTGAAGTTGCAAGCATAGGAGAACATTGCCTGTAAATTATAAAAACAAAAAGTTAATCAAATTCCAAAAAACTAATTTCTTGAAAATGTTAAGATTTTTTGAAAATTTTCCCTTACCTGATCGTGATAGGCATCAATCAAAGCTTGCCTGTTGTCTGAATCATAAATCAAGTAATATTGTTTAATGAATTTGACAAGTAATGTTTGGACATCAGTATTCAGAAAATAATTCCCCTGAAATAGAGAAAATAAATAGAAATGAAAGTTTTTTCTTTCAAATATCTAATGAAAAACGGTGGGAGAAAACAGATTAAAAAAAAAAAAAAAAAAAAAAAAAAAAAAAAAATATATATATATATATATATATATATATATATATATATATATATATATATATATATATATATATATATATATAATATAAGGTAGTTCTGAAAAGTACTTTTGCCCAACCAACTTCTTCAAATCAGATTATTTTTCAGTGGAAAGATAAAAATTTTTGGCTGGAGAACTTTTCAGCACCCTGTTAAAAAAAAACAAAAAAATAAAAATAAAATAATCTCTCCTTCAATATAACCTGACATTATAAATTTAATTCCCATTTCTGAATAAGCATTCAACCTATTTCCTAATTAGGGCAGGAATCATGGAGAATTTATGAATGAAAATCTAAAAGGTTTATTATCAAGTAATATTTCAATGTTACAAATACTAAAACTAAACTGAGCTTTCCATTTACACATAAATTTACCTTTGATGGGGGCAGATCAGTGGCAGATTCCAAATCAAATACAATAGGAGGAGGAAGTTCATGCCCATCCTGAAATTGAAATAAAATTTCTTGGAATACTTACAGGAAGATTTGACAAGATTCAGGTCTATATATGTAAAGTCTTATGATAAGTACATCAATCAATTACAAAGTTTTATTTATTGAAGATGGTGCACACAGGTAAAATCATAGAGTTAGATTAGTTGTCATAATTTAATTTTAATAGTGTGATGGCATTCACCTTCCTAAAGAACAAAAAAAAAATTTTTTCCTTGAATTTATGATTTGTCTTTCCCAGACAAAGACTTGTTAGAACCTAATAAAAATTTTATTTTAAATTCCAATACTTTGTCAATCTATTAATGCTTACAAAAGAAAGCAGTGGGTTAAATACATTTGTTAGTTTTAAAATTGTTATAACACCAATTTTTTATCTTGCAACATTGAAAAATCCAATAAAATCTGATATTAATCAAAATATTTAAGGAATCTTCAAACAATTTGAGTTAAAGAAATTATCTTCATTACTAAATTCAATATCACTGGCTTACAACATTAAGTATCTGAGAAGATACTTTTCATGAATTTTTTTTTTTTTTAATTCAAATAAGATTATTTTTTTTCAGGAATTGTTTAAAGTTTGTGAAATTACATTTTTCCTTGGTATATGATTCAGAACTTGCTTTACAAGAGACAACAAACCAATCCAAAAAAGAAAAAGAAAAAAAATCTCAATATCAGTTGTTTAACAAATAAAATGACTTACCAATCTGAGGACTTTGGGATATTTTTTCCTTACAGCCCTAAAATAGAAAAATCATTACAGATGAAAGGCCAAAGTTTTTATGGTTGATATGTTATATGGGTCAGTAATTACTGTATGTAAAGCCATGTACGTGAACTTTCTCTATTATGCATTCATAATGCATTAAATGTGGAGATAGGTTTCATTGGAAGCTTTCGACAGAAGAGCAGCTAGTTTAATTTAAGGAATTATAAGCTGGAATATCATTAACACAGGCTTGCATATCATTGTCTTAAATGTGCTGAGTAAATGAAACAAAATCATTAAAATGAGAGATCAGGATACTGACAAGATGTTCAAAATATGACAAACAAAAAATACCTGTTGACAAACTTTTACAAAACTATTTGTTCATTCTAAAGAAATTTTACATACAAATCCAATAGAAAAGTTCCAGGATTATGATGTTTGGTGTGCAAATGACTTCAATGGGGGTTAGGGAAATAAAAAAAATTTAAGTATTATTAATGATTACTGGGGAAGGGGGGTGGGGGGGTTTGATGGTTTACAAATAAAACTGATTTGTTATTTAAGGACAAGCAGTTATGGTGATACTAACAGCTGAAAGTGATACAAATTCCTGTTAAATGTAAATGATTTACAGTTAGCCCAGAACAAGTGATTGAGTTTTTGAAGAAAAAAAAAAAAAAAAAATTACTTTCACAATTTAACCCCTCACTTTTTTTACATTAAAGATGTAAGAGTTACAAAGAAAAAGCAACATCAAAACATTTAAAACATAATTTTGAAGAAAAGAAAATGAAAAAGAAATAAAAATAAAAAATACAGATTGGGCTAATGCGTGGAAGGAAAAAAAAAAAAAAAAAAAAAAAAAGGGAAAAAAAAAAAAAAAAAAAAAAAAAAAAAAAAGAAAAAAAAAATTCAATCAGTGATGCCAAGTTCTGTAATAAATATAAAAAAAAATATTCTCTTCTCAAAACAAAAGAAGTATGCCAGAATATAAGAGTCCTATCATACAAAAATTTGTAAAACAAGACATCTCCAGCATTTAAAGAGAGTAAGGAAGGGGAGGGGAACTGGCAAGTTTCATTCGTACCAATTCCAACAGGTTTTTCCTAATCTCTGCATAAAATTTAAACTTGACTGCAAGAACAACTCCACATTCATTTTCTATTTAAAATGGTAACAGTTGTTATTTTACTTTCGTTTCCCTGCTAATGTGATGAAATGACGCCGCCTTTCCATTCTTTGGTTCCTTCCAGATTTCCAAGTGTCCAGTGCCCCTGTCTTAGGTTGTCTTCCCTTCTGGAAGAACTTACCCGTCTTCGGTGGCAAGAATACTTGGACAAATCTATATGTCAATCAACAGCTCTCCAGAACAGCGAGGTGAGGTCAAGACGCAAGCAATGTCTTTCTTTTTATTTTTTGTAGAAACGCAACTAAGTTTTACAAACCAGGACAGAGGATTGCGTGTAGCAATACCAGCAGTACAGGGTTCTTAAGTGCTTAAACAGGTCTATTTACATGGAGCCTTATTTGATAAAAATAAATAAAAATTATAATTACTAGTTTAAACTGTGTCAAAAGCAAACATACTAACATTAGGCTCACCAAAACAGATCTTGTTCTAAGATTCTAAGATTAGCTGTAGCTAAGGTTTAAAAATTGAATATTGAAATTTTTTTTTCTTTCTTCTTAAATGCAGAGCAGAGAATTTTTTTTTTTTTATTCTTTTCCCCCCAGTGGAATTGGTAGAAGCATTCAATTTGGCATCTTGGAAACTTATTTACAGAATTATATAGTTTTGTAACAATGTAATTAGAAAATATGACATTTTAGTGCCATTTTGTTAAAATTTGATTTTTGCCACAAATGGCTTCATAAGGGGAGTGGGGGGGTGTTTGTAATAACCTTACATAAACCATATTCCATTTATAATTGTCTGTTTAAACACTATTTTTTTGTTAATTTCAGAAGATTCCCCAAAATGATATCTTGGCTCAAACCATCTGGACGTTTTTTTTTTAACATACACCTTAAATTTTTTTTTTTTTTTTTTTTTTTTTTCCACATTTTCAATTTTTTCTTTTTCATGCTTTTAATGATTTTTTTGGTTTGTTTTTCAGGTTTGTATGATTTTTTTTTTCCTCTACATTTTCAATGTTTTTTTTTTTTTTTTATGTCTTCATTTTTCTCCCACATTTTTATCTTTTTTTTTTTTCATGTTTTCATTTTCTTGTTCACATTTTCCATTTTTACTTTTTTCACGTTTTCTAATTTTACTTTTTCCATTTTTTTTTTTTTTTTTTCACATTTTCATCATTTTTTCTATTTTTTCTTTCACAATTTTCATTTTTTCATGTTCTTTTTTGCATTTTCATTTTTTTTTCATACTTTCATTTTCCTTTTTCATGTTTTTTTTTTCACATTTTCAATGTTTTTTTTGTGTTTTCAGTGGGGGGGGGGTCACATTTTTAATGTTTATGTTTCCAGTTGGCTTTTTTTTTTCTCCACATTTTCAATTGTTTTTTTCACCCCACATTTTCAATTGTTTTTTTCACCCCACATTTTCAATGTTTTTTTTTACATTTTCAGTGTTTTTTTTTGTTTTTTTTACATTATTCAATTTTTTTCTTCACATTTTCAGTGTTTTTTTTTTCACATTTTCGGTGAGTTTTTTTTTTTTTTTTTCTCCACATTTTCAGTGGTTATTTTTTGTTTTTTTTTTTTCACATTTTCAGTGTTTTTTTTTTTTTTTTTTTTTTTTTTTCATTTTCAGTGGTTTTTTTTTTTTTTTTTCGGTGGTTTTTTTTTTCCATTTTCAGTCGGGTTTTTTTTTTTTCCATTTTCAGTCGGGTTTTTTTTTTTTTTTCCATTTTCAGTCGGGTTTTTTTTTTTTTTTCATTTTCAGTCGGGTTTTTTTTTCTTTTTTTCATTTTTCACATTTTAAGTGTTTTTTTTTTCTTCACATTTTTAGTGTTTTTTTTGTTTTTTTTTTTCATATTTTCAATGGAGTTTGTTATTTTTCTATTCACATTTTCATTATAATTCTCCCACCTATATTTAAAATTTCATTTTCTTTCCTATGTTTTTTCTTTTACATACCTCTTTATTTTCAGTAGAAAAATAAATATCCAATTTTTATTTTAATTTCTTAATTCTTCTCAAAGTAAACCACTGCATTTTCAGTATATTTTTAAAATGAAGATTTTCACGGTACATTTCCAATTCAAACTAAAAATCATAAAAAGTACAATATTGTTTAAACTAAAAAAAAGTTTCTATATCACAGATTGTAAAATGAAAAGGTGTGTGTGTGTGCGCGTATTAAATTAGTAATTAAAAAATTTAAAAGAATGGAGAAAGTTGGTAATTCAAAAAGTTAAATCTTTTCAATTTTATCCACAAGATGAAATCTAAGAATTTTAATTTTAAAGTTTTTGCCCATAATCTAGATTTATAGTAAAATACTATTAAAACAAATAAAATAGTATTTGAATATGCCCAAATACCAGTTTGAAAGAAAGTAACAAAAGTTTATAAAAAAAAAAAAAAAAAAAAAAAAAAAACAGAAAAGAGTGACAGAAAGAGGGGGTAGTCTAAACAAGAACGCTTTAATTTTTGAATGGTCATTATGTTCTAAATGAAACAGTGCTTCTTGCTATCAATTTTTTTATTCTAAACAGAGCCAGAAATGTTTTGTGATGTTAATAAATAAAAAGCATAAGCATTACAAGTGAACAAAAAAAAAAAAAAAGAAAAAAAAAATTAAAGTAAGCTATTCAGCTCACTTTTTTTTTTTTTTTACAACTAATTTTTTTTTTGGGGGGGGCAAAAATCTGAATTTGTGTGATTAACTCCATAAACTCAGCTGATTTCTTATAATAAAGATTACATGTATTTAAAAAAATAAATATTTGGGGGGGGGGGGGGAATTAGAAATCAGTTATACACTTAATTACATTTCAGATGCAATTTATATTCTGATTTTTGAAGCAAAAGACACTTTTTATAGTAGTTTTTCAGGTTTCTAAGTAAACCTAATCACAAGTTCTAAAGCAAATATAAATCATTAATAATGGGGAAGGGGGCAGTTTCAAACCAAAAATCAAAGACCAAAATGAATTTTCAAAATTAACACTTTCCCAACATGTTTCAAACATAATTCCTATACTTGTGAAAACATTTGCACAAGGAGTATGCTGCTGGGTGCAATGAAAATATCTCCACATTTGAGCATTTTATAATATGAAATGAAAAAAGTTTAATTTTAAACTATAATCCTAATTTTCAAAGTGTCAAGATTCAGCATATTTTATACATAAACTTATTTTATATACATAAGATAATTTACTGATTAAAAGTAAAATTACAAATGTAAAAATAGTGTCAACATCAGATTTAACAAAAAAAAAAAAAAAAAAAAAAAAAAAAAAAATCAGATTAAAAAAAAATAAACAGTTTGAAAAAAACATTTAAAAAAAAAAAAAAAAATTATAGAGAAAAAAAAACATTTATAGAGAGAAAAAAAAAAAAAAAAAAACAGATTTATAGAGAAAAAAAACAACACATTTATAAAGAAAAAAAAAAAAACATTTATAAAGAAAAAAAAAAAAAAACAAACAAAAAAAACACATTTATAAAGAAAAAAAAAAAAAAAAAAAAAAAAAAAAAAAAAAATAGAAAAGTAAAACTAATGGCACTATCTTCCTTGAATTTCAAAATTAGCACCTAAGAAGCAATTTTTTTTTTTTAATTGTTAATTAGGAACACCTAAGTACTTGAAACATCAAACAGTAACAACTATTTTCATTAACTGATAAAAATGAGTTATATTTAGTGTGAGGCAGTTGAGACTAATATTGAAGTAACTGATGTAAAGCAAGCATTCATTTTTTTTTAATAAAGCTGCATCTAATGTTCCTTTAAAAAAAAAAAAAAAAAAAAATTGCAAAAACTTTCAAAATGTTTCATCAGTCATTAAGACCTAGTGATTTCATGACACATTTAACAAAAGCATTTTTTTTTTGCATCAAAATATATTTTGTTTAAAAAATCTTTAAAATCTAATGTGAAAATATTTTACCGTAGTAAATATATTTTTTTAAAGCATCTTTTGCATTATTTCCCAACCCGATCACCAAAATAGGCTTAGAAATCTTTTTGACAGATTAGACTTATGTTTAGTTTCATGCCTAAGAAAAAAAAAAAAAAAAAAAAAAAGCAACCCCCCCCAATTGTGTAAGCATTTTAAACGGGTTCTAAAATAGGTTTCCTTTTTTGTTTTAGTTCTGCAAAGCTCCACTTTAAACAAAAAAAAAAACAAATCACTGAGGATACCATATCCAAAGTCCTGTATCACATAACAGCACCAATATAGCTGTTTTAAAGATAATACTCAATAAATCCTAATATATAAGTACTAAGAGATATTTTTCCCAATGCATAACACCTTCAAATTAATTATGAATTTCTTCTGGATAAAATAAATGGTTCTTCATGCTATTCCTACATGAAAGAAAAAAAGAATTGATAAGAACAGCAATGACAGAATTCGGTTAATGCAGAGATAATTATCAAGCATGAATAAAATATTAAAATTTATGAAAAATCATTTTCAATAAGCATTGCATGAAATTATGTAAAAATCTCACCCCACATCCCAGGATGTAGCATTTACAATTAAATTATTCCATTTTCACAAAATTAGGTATTGATATTAGTGAAGAAATAATTAATAAAATATACAACTCTTTACTGCAACATTTACAAGTTACAATTCGATTAATTCTAAACTGACTTCACTTCATTAACAATACAGAATATATGAACACAATCTTAAAAATTACCTAACAAAATAAAGGTTATGATGTTATAAATGAACTGAAACTTTTCATAACTGTGGTTAATGTTTTTAGTAAAGATATTTAAGCTGAATAAATAAAAGTAAAAGGTTTAACTAACCAACTTTTCTCATTAAGTAATCAAAAATAATTACAATTTTGACAAAATTGATTCCAATAAGGATATGAGTAGTTCAAGTGAACTAAGTAGTCTCGTTGCTATTTTTGTTACTAATTTTTTTAATGATATATGTTGAGAAGGTAAGGCAATCAGGACTCTCTACAAATTCCCTTTCTTTATCTGTAAATTCCCACAACTTTGAAAAGTTAGTGGTTTCCAGTTACCCTTATCAATTTTTAATTCATAGCTGTCTTTTGCCAAAAACTGACTGTCACTCAAGGCTAGAAAGTGCAGTATACATATAGCTGAGAGAGGGGGTGTTAATATTCTCACTGTTGTAACCTAGGAAAGGTTACTGAATAGAATAATCAAATGAAGGTTGGTAAGGAATGATAATACTTAAGACAAGAACAACACATATAAGATTCACCAGTGGTGCATAGAAGTATTAGTCAACTGCTAGAAATGAGTCAAGTGAATTCCACAGTTAATCTCCAATGATAGACCAACATACATTATTCACTACTGTATTTATGGGAATGGGAACCTGCCCATTATTGTCCATAGGTATGCTATAACACTCACATAATACAAAAATATTGCATTTTACATCAAGTAATTGCAAGTTTAAGATGGGCATGATTCCATATGGAATTATTTTAGCAGTAAACAATTTAAACAGCACATTAGAAGATATAACTATAATTTAAGGATTTAAAAAATAAATAAATTTGTTTCAGCTTAATTTCTGTAAACTGAAATTGTTTTCTAGATAAAAGATTACATTATTAAAACTTTCAAATAAGCGTTGAAATATATATATATATATATATATATATATATATATATATATATATATATATATATATATATATATATATATGTGTGTGTGTACCCACACACCAGAATATTTCCAAAACATTACTCATAACTTATGCTATTAGCAAAGCAATAACAAGCAATCATGTTTTCAGTATCAAATATTTTCATTTTACCACAGAACCAAAATGACAGATTTCATAAATTGATGTCTAAGATGACAGCAATATTATTGTAATAAACATATTGTAATAAGCTTTACCATCATTTACCACCTGTTATACACAATGGTAATAGCTTCAATCATGTGATCTGATAAAGACTACAAATGAACTCGTTTCCAGGTTTATCAATAAAAACATGACAAATCTTAATTTCTAGAGGTTTATCCTGATATCAACTAATCTTACAGCATAAGATTGTGGATGACATTCAACTCATATGAAAGGGCATTTTCATACTAGATTATCAACTCCTCACCCAACATGGGATGAAATATTGTTAATCCTTTAAAAACCAAGTACTTTATATTGATCAGACCTCTTTGGTAACTGCCACTCAACCATACATAACATTATAGTGTTAGGCCCTGAGCATAGAAAATTAAGACTCAACAGTACCCAAATTGAGAATGCACTTGTGAGGAATCTTTACAGGATTCAAAGATGGTAATTTTTTATATCAGTAATGGATTCTTCATAAACAAAATATCCATAAATTTAGGAAATAATATCACAGATCTAGTGACACCAATACATAAAACAAACAAAATCTGAAAACAAAACAATCTTTAAATTAACCACCTCTTCTTGTTTCCCCATATCCTCATGTCCAAGCCAGATAGCAGTAGAGCTTGCAGCTAACAGTGTGCACTGTTCACAGGCAAACTCCTATACCTTTACATTACCTGATATAGTCAGACTGTTCTTTAAACCTATCACATAAGTCATTGCCCTCCAGTATTAAGTCATCCAGCTTCCAGCCTTTGATTTTCTCAAGTTCTTCAATGGTTTTCAGCTATAAATAAAAAAAGATTGTATCAGTTATCAAGAACTGTTCAAATTAGAAGAAAAATTTTTTTTTAAGTGTTTGAACAAAATTTAAAAAAATAAATGCAAATTTGATGTAAATAAATCTAGATTTGCAAAATAATTTATCAATATTTAAGAGGATTAATTAAAAGAAAGAACCCCCTCCCCATTAATTACATCCCTTGTTGTAGATGGAAGATGAGGTATAAGCATGTGTTAAACATTAATATTTTTAGATTATAAAGTAGTATATTTTTTGTAATAAAATTTCATAACAGAAGTTAAATAATAAAACTCACCATATTTTTGCCAAGATTTAAATGTTTTAAGTTTGGAGTTTCAGGGACCAGGGTTGCCAGGGAATCCAAGGTCATAAGTCTGTTGCTGCTTAAATCTAATGATACCAACTATAAAAGAAAAAAAAAAGAAAAAGAAAACTCATTCAGCATAAAAATTAAAAGCACAATGACTATTTAAAATACAAAATATTAAAAATCAACACTTTATCAAATTTGCATGATAATCATTTCCTGTTTATTTTCTGAATAATTTCAACTATACCATTATATCTTGTGAATAAAAGTAAAGATTGTTGTGTCAAAATAACCTCATTGTAAACAGTACTAATGAACTATACCAAATGTGGCAACAAATTTTAAATAAAAAGATGGACATAAACTGAATCAACAACAATCATAACAGCTGAATAGACTTACTTCAGGGATATTTTCTTTAATGATGCTCACAACATGGCTAAAAACTTGTGGACGGTTCAAAACCAAAAATAATTTCTTTTGTTGCAATGCTTAAAATTAAAAGAAAAACAAAACATTATTATTATTATTATTAGAAATAAAAGAGAAACACCATTTCATTGTGTTATCTGTGCATAATAAAAATTTGTATATAAATATTTGCTAAATAAAAATTAAAGATGTAACAGAAAATCTTGGTGAAATTATGACAAAAACTAATCATTAATTAATCCAATTGTGTATAATCTACCAATTTGTACCTCTTTTGTAATATGATAGATTATGAAAACAATGAAATAATTATATTTTAATACAGAAATTACAAAAAATGTTGGCAAATCCTTCTTGCTCATCTTTATGCAAAAGAGTATTTCTTTTATTATCTTGCTACTTACATTGGGACTGATAAATGTTACTTAAATTCAAGGTTTTGGTTGAAGAATCATATCTTTCACTCATGCAGGTCTGAAAGGGAAAAGAAGTTAAAAAATAAATTATCTACAAAGTCTTATTTTTCTAATTACACACAATTGCATAAACAAGATTTTATTATACAATCAAAACTGAAAAAATAGCCACATTTAAATGTTTGCTACAGTTTAGTTTCTTAATTTTCAAATTTGCCAAATAATATTTCTAACAAAATTTTCTATTAAAAATTGGTAATTATTTTACAAGCACCTTAGAATAATTAAGTCTCAGAATGATTTTTTTTTTTTTTAAATTAGTCTTTTCTTACAATAGTGGTTTGGTTTATTTTGTTTTACAGCATATCAACCTCAAAGGGTTATTTAATGCTAAGAAAATCTTTCAGATAGGTTCATAGGAATAGAATATACATTCTTTGTAAAAAATCATTTTGTAGATCAGCTTTCATTGACATTTTTGTAGAGAGGGTTTTTGTCGAGAATCAAATGTATTGTTGGTAAAAATTTTCTTTTAAAAAATGTATTGCTAGTAATAGTTTCTTCCATTTAAGGTCTTAAGTTATCCGATTTGTAGAGTTTGTTTCAGGTTTGCTGGAAGTTATAGCAATTTAGTAGTATGTGTTTGACTGTATATGGTTCCTGGCATGGGACACATGCTGACAGTTCCTCATTTTTAATAGATGTTGGTGAGTTATGTATATGTGTCCAATACAGAGTCTGGCTAGTTCCACCTCTCTCCTTATCTTTCTGTAACTTGACTGTCTTTCACTAATGATTGGCTGGATGTTGAGTAGTTCATTGTTTAGACAATTGTTCCAGAATTGCTGCCATTTTTCTTTAATGGTTTTGTTTATGGTGGGTTGGAAGTCAGTGTGTGGAACCCTTACATTTGAGAGGGCCATGTTCAGCAATTCCTTTGCTATTTTGTTGGCTTTTCCATTTCCTTGTATGCCAATATAGCTTGATATCCAACATAGAATTATTAGTGCCTTTTTCCTTATAAATAGTGTCAATCCTATTTAATAATTTATTTATTAAGGGGATTTCCCATGTTTTTATTCTTCAGAGCTGTGAAGTACAGACAGTGAATCTGAGATGATAAACCTATCTGACCCACTGGATTCTATTATTCTTTGACCTCTTTATGGTTGGTCAAAACTCCAGTGACAATCCCTTTCCACATGTTCAGTCAAGCATTGCTGCCCCAGATCCCCAATGTCTAATCCAGAGTCCCAAGCTATGGTGTCTGGGAAAGTCAATTTTCAGAAGACATGATAGCTCTTTCAGTAGCCAATACAAAATGTGGGACACCAACCCTACATCTGGGAATGTCTAATATTATAGAATCTGGATTCTATAATATCTAAAGCCAAGTGTATAGCTGAGGCTTCTGCACTTAAGATCGAGGCTTTCTCAGGCAATCATTTCTGCATTGTTATGTTGTTAAGTACAGCAGAACATCCAATTGTCCAAAATTTTAGAACCATCAGTGTATATATGTTTATAATTTTGGTGAGCTTGTAGGATATTATGGCTTTCTTCTATGTAATCAGATAAGTTGGTATTAAATTTAGGGTATTTAATAAGGTTTAGCAGAATCATAGGGTGTTTCATTAAACAGGGCGAGTTTTTGAGATGGTGTTTTTATGAATTAGTGTTGGATTTATTTGTTTCACTGATGAGATTTTTCATGTGAAGTTCAAAAGGCTTGATAGCATTTTCTTTTAGATCAAATAGATTTTTGTATTTAGGATTAAAGCTAAAGTGGTAGGCAGGGTTAATTGGACAGGATTTGAGTTTTAGATAATATTGTAGTGCCAGTTTTTCATATCTCAATTTTAACAGTGCCTCATTATTTTATGGGTGATTTTTGGGTGATGTTTTTGCCAGTCTTAATCAACCATGATGGATGGGGAAACAGGGTTTTTAGGTAGGATTTCCAATTTGGTTCTTATATGAAACATAGTCCAATTTGGTTCTAATTTGATGATATACAATCTCCTCCCAAGTCAGTGTTAGCCACAACCCATAGTAATTGTAATGTTTTTGAAACATTTCTGTTTTATGTATTTTAAGTGAAGAATGAAAGCAAGTTATTTTTTTTAAAAATGATTCCCAGAAATTTATGTTGGTCAGCCATTTGAATTTCTGTTTCCTCAAGTCTAAGTGTTGGATCATTGTGCATTTTTTTTTCAGTTTGCAGAAATGGATACACTTTATTTACATTATTTGGAGAATTGTCCTTATCAATAGTCCATATTTTAATTTATTTAGGCCCAGTTTACAGTTGCCTTCTTCAGGCAGTTGGAATGTCAAATGAATTTTTTGATCTAGACTGTTCAAAAGTTCATCTGCATGTAAAATGGAAACCATTATCAGAGATAATTTAATCAATTAGACATTGACAGATACTGGATAACTTTGTGACAAACAGAAAGAACCTTTAGAAACTCCTTGGATTTTCATTTATTTAGGAGATTTAAGTTGTTCTGAACTTTTAAATTTTTTGACAAAAAAGTTATTTATCAAAAGGTCGATAATTTGAACCTTCAATCTCCTTGATTTAAACAATATACAATATAATTTTATATATATATATGATGGATAGAATACAACCTGTGTGGAAGTGTGTGATTTTGAGGTTTGAGAAACAGAATATTTACAAAACATTTGAAAAAAAAAGTTATTTATCAAAACAAGCAATCATGTTTTTAATCAAAGATTTTCATTTTATCTTTCATTATTATTCCATGTTGTTTCATAGGCCTTTTCTAGATCAAAGAAAATGGCTATTGTATGTTCATTTTTTTTTTTTTCTAATAAAAGCCTCTAATGAAAGTTTCTAGATGGACCATGTTGTTAATAGTGCCTCTTGTTTCAGAATCCATTCTGGAGGTTTGCAATTAAACTTAGTTTCAAGGTACCAGTTTTATTCTCTAGTCTTTCTTGGGTTTTGCATATGCAACTTGTTAATGATATGGGTCAAAAGTTTTTGATTCTGATTTGTCTTTATCTGATTTTGGTATAGTATCACAGTAGCTCATTTCCAGCTATTTGGGAGTTTGCCCTCAAATACCTTTAATGAAATATTATTTAACAGATATTTTAAGAATTTTTGGAGAAGTTATTTAAGAAATTCATAATGAATTTCATCTAGGCCAGTAGCTGTATTATGTGATTCACTTATGGAATCTATAAGTTCATTTTGGGTAAAAGGACGGTTGTAATCTTTTTTGTTGTTTGTTTATTTTTTTTTTTTCTTGCTTAACTTTTTGAAATTGCTGTTTGTAGTTTTCATTGGAAGAATTTTGTTTAAAGGTTTTACCAAGTATATTTGCTATATCCTTTTTTGCTTGTTATTTTTATATTTTGAGAAAGATAGTTTAGTGGAAGTGATAGATTTTTGCCAGCAATTTTTTTATCATATTGGGATTGGTTTTATTTTATTTATGTAAACTCACCATGATTTTCTTTTAGCTTTTTTGATGGTTCTGCATACTATTGCTCTATTTAGTTTGAATAGATCTAAATTATGAGCTGTAGGTTGGGTATTAAGTTTTCTTAGTGCTGCTCTACGTAATCTTTGCTTTTTTTTGCAATCTTTTGTCAAACCAAGTTTTTGATGTTTATTCAATTTAGTGCTTTTTGGTATACATTTTCTTGCAATTGCTATTAATATTTCAGAGAAATATTCATTTTTTTTTTTTTTTTTTTTTAAGTTTTTGACAACATTGGTTTTTATATTCCCTCCAGTCTGCTTTGTTTAGTTTCCATCAAGGGAGATGTTTTCAATCGGTTCTGAACTCTTCAGTATAAGTGGGTAGGGATTACTACTGCATGAATCAGAGTACTTGCCAACTGTAATCCATAAAAATAAAAGGGTCAGTGGTAAGTCAATAGCTGAGTACAACCTGATGCAGGATATAGATATGTATTAGAATTATTATTTAGCAAACAGAAGTCATTGTTGTTAATTACATTTTCCAGGTTTTTCCCCAGAGTTCTTGTATCCCCATATAATATTGTGACTGATAAAGTCACCTAATAATATGAATGGTTTCAGTAGTTGTTCTATTAGTTTATTTAAATTGATTTCTTTTATAGGATCATGAGGTGGGATGTAAATAGAGCAGATATTAACAGTTTTATGTAGAGTAGTTTTTGTAGCAACTGTTTGTAGATTGGTTTCTAGAAGTATTTTACTTTAGGGGTATGTCATTTCTGATTAAGATTCATACATGCCCATATGCCCTCTGTTGAGGGTCATGTATGTAGTTATATTGAGTATAATTTTTATTTTATCATTTGGTTTTAGAAAATGTTTTTTGAAGGTAAATGACAGTGAAAAGTTGATTTGTTATGAGTAAGAGTAGTTCATTTATGTTTGCTTTTAGGCCTTGACAATTCCTCTGTATAATTTTTTGCATCATGCTTATGCATTCAGGTATTGTTATGAGTTTTCACTATGTCCAGTTTATATTTAGTGGGTGAAGTGTCCATAAATTGTATTCTCTGATTTGTTAGTGCTTTGTTTTCATCAGGTTTTGTTCTTTAGAGGTTTTTTTTTGTTTCCACTTTTCTTTGGTTTTGTTTTATTTGTTTTTTCATTAGGTTCTTTTGGCAAAATTTTCTGGACGATGACCATTCTCTTATTTTGAGAGAGTGCATCAATGTTATTTCTTTTGTTTTTCAGTGATGTACTGGGTTGTTGAAGGAAAAGAGTTGGTTTTAAGTTTGACACTGCCATCCCATGTATAAGGAGGAAGATAGATTCTATAGTCTTTTTGATGATAACACGCACACCCAAAACTTATGACTAATCAAGAGGTGGAATAGAATTTTTATCAGTTCTAACTGGCCAAATTTGCATCCACACATTGTTTATTCAGTGATGGACCGTGCTTTTATTGTTAACTTCTGGCACTTGCATGAACCGATTCGGATTCTTTAGGACATTTTTTTTCTCCTTGTTCATCCATCATTTCATTTAGCCAGGGACTGTTACTACATTTGCAAAGCGTCCACTATTTTACATATCATGCATGCCACTCATTGCCTTTAGAACGGCAAAATGTAGTCAGTTCAGCAGAACCCAGAGACTGCTGCCTTTCAGTTTCGCTACAGTTTGTTATTTTTTTATGAAGCTTTTGATGAATGTTTGGAGGGTTAAAGGATTTTTTGTTTTGGATTCAGGGTTTTCAGACTTATTTGTTTTGTACTTTTGATTCTTTTTTTTGTTTGAGTTTGGAACTCATTTTGACTATGGGAGTTTGGTTTATGTATGAAATACTAAATTTTAGTAGTTCTATTAGTTTTTTTTAATTCATTTATTAGAATTGTAAGTTCTTGGTTTCTTATTGTGTTGTTCTCTTGTATGTCATTTTGGTGATTTGTTATTTTAGTAAAATTTGCATATGATGTTGGCAGTGAGTTTTCAACATGTTTTCTAGCTTCTTGGAACAAGATGTTTTGTATATATTTTATTATTTGCTTTTCCTTTCTCCAGATGTTACACTCTTTAGAATTTACTGAGTGCTTTTGCTTGCAGTTTGAGCATAAAATAGGCCTTTCACAGGGTGACTATAATCAGACTCAAATTACCCACATCTTCAACAGACTGGTATTCTCATACATTCATCTTGTAGATGGCCAAATTTCTGACATCTGCAGGGATTAGGAATGTATGGCTCTACCTTGGCTATTGTGCATCCTATTTTTATTTCTTTCAGTAGGGTAGGTTTATTAAGTGTCAAAATGTATGTGTTTGTGCTTATTGATGTGCATTTTTTTATTTATATTCTTTTGACATCTGTTATCTTTTTTTTGTTTTTTTTTTTTTTTTTTTTAATTTTTCCAGTGAGCAGAGTGACAGTTCTAGACATTTTATTACTCTGTTAAAGGAGTTAAAAATTGGTGGTCATTTATTTGATGTTTTTATTTGATTTTTCTGTGTGTTTTTTGGTTTTTATTTTTTGGTAGTGTTTTATTTTCCTTTTTTTTATTTTACTGAATTTGGTTTTGTCATAACTAAAATACACTTTTGTTATTTCACCCTCTAATGATTTTATGACAATGAAAAATTGAAAATTTTTTTTTTTTCCTGATATTTCATTGTCACTTTCTGTCCCTGAGTTTTTGTACTGTTTCTTGGATTGTTTATAAGAGTTAGACATACAATTTTAATTTTAGACAATTTGTTTTTGTATTCTGTGCTCCCCATCCTGCTTCAGGAGTTCCTATCAGGGAGGACTAATCCCATTTGCCCTGATCCAGAGCTACACAGATGGTATAGTCATGCAGAAAGTGGCTGCAAGCACCCACATTCCCCATCATATCTACCCAAATATAGTATGGTGTATGGATTTGCAGCCATATCTAGCTTTTATCTTTCATGAAAACTAGCCCTTGTCACTATGTGAATATCCATTTGATTAGATTGGGCTATTCCATCCACCCATCTATCCCAGGTAGGGAGGGACGTGGCATGTCGAATGGAAACTCCTGGCCATTTTATACTAGATCAGAGTCACTGTCAGGACTTCAGACGGGGCATCAGGTTGCCACCACATTGCAAACAGGTGGCTCTATTGAGAGAGATTTGTAGTTTTTGAGAATCAGTTTTCATAAATGTGCATTCATATATTGAAATTTTATAGGTATTTTTGTATCAACAGGTTGTTTAGGAATCGTGCTTTGTGTAAACAGTTTGTGGATTATGATTTTTGATGTCACCATCCTAGGTATAAATGGGTAGGTTGTAGGCTTAATCATAAGCTGACAGCATGTAGGGGAAGTTTTCCTGATATGAACAATTAGATTCTAATCCATCTTTCTTCTTATACTATGCCTGGTAGTACCTTAATGTCCTGCCCTATAGGTGAACTTGCTTGTTTCATGTAAAAAAAAAAAAAAAAAAAAAAAAAAAAAAATTATTATTGCAGTTCAACTAATTTTCTTGGGAGCATTAGTAATTTCTTTTACAAAACTGTATTGTTGGTAATATTCCCCAGACCCCTCTTACAAAAATGCCCTGCTGGTAATTTTTTTTTAACTATGAAAATGCTTTGCTGGCTCCTTTACTACAAAAAGGTGTATTTCTACACTTTCAGTGTTTTGACCTCAAATTGGGGTTTAACTATTTGCCTATAACTGGGACCCTAACAGATGCTACCACCCTGGATCAGGGTGGACCTGGGAACAACAATTAAGAGGTAGCTCCATGCTCCTCAAAACCTCTCAATTAGAGACCTTGTTGCCGAATGTAGTTTACCGTTGTACCCTGGACACGTTTTTACAGTAGAAACAAAATATCTATTCATATTTAAAATAAACTATTATAAAAGTTTTATATATTGTTTTATTAAAGAAATCAATTATCACTTTATCAGAGTTACTTATACACTGACATGAACAAGTCATGGGATAGCAGTAGGTAAAGGTAATAAGTGGAGCTACCATACATTGCTGTCATAGAAATTTTCAGACCTATATCAGTTGTAACTCGATATTTGGTGAGTCAGTGTAAACACTAGCTAAACAGCTCATGGCAAGGTGTGAGTGAGTATCAGACAGATGAAATATTACATTTATGAAACTAAGAATATTTGATATCTTTTAATCTGTCCTATCACATATGTGCCAGGAATAACTAATAAAAAGCCTTAATGCTCCCTATGGACAGTTCAGTGGCTGAACATAGGTCCTTAATGATCTAAACCAAAAGTGCCTGCTTAGAATTGTCTGAGAATAGACAATCAACACTTACTAAAATTCCATCCAAATTTAATGTAGAAGATATATAGAACACAGTTGGTTAGTTAAACATTCTTTAGTTTCTAAAGGATACGATAGCAGAAAATTAATCAGGATACCTCAAATGGATCATGGCATTGCTAATTGAACCCTCAAGGACTGGCAATATGTCCAACGAGTCACAGTTCCAGTTGCTTTTGGCTAATGGTAGGGTTCAGGCATGGACCAGACCTCATGCGGTCATAGACACCAGTTACCATCAAGGAACAATGATTCATTTGGTTGAATTTTTTTTTTTTACTGTTTATGGGTTATTTAAGGCCAAAACCTATTTTGGATTGTAGGAGATAGTTTACAGTACCCTGTGTTCCCAAGTAGTCACCATCTAATGTCAATGCACCATAAAGACTGGTGGTTGTTTCATAAAATTATGGAATGTATTCATGTGGTCTGCCTACACATTGGTTGGTGAACAATACAATGCACTGTTTTATGACCTCTTGCACTCATTCATTGACTGACTTCATGTCATCAGGTCTGCAATAAAACCTAGAATTGATTTGAGAAGCATTCTAGAGAATTCTGACAAACAATATGGCCACCATGTTCACCTGACAAATCCAATCAAGCATTTATATGGCATAATAGAAATCTTTTTAAAGTATTTATCAAATAAATTAAATTTACCTTTTTCTTTTTTAAAATAATTTACTGCCAAACTTACACATATGAATGAAACTTTAATTTTTAATTAGAAAAGATTTGCAATTTAAAAGGTTTTATTCCATATTTAATATTCCCAATACACAAACACTTTCTTCATTATAAACACTTAAGTATCTAATATTAATAATGCAAATAATCATATATCATAGGAAAAATTATGACATATGAGAACTATATATATTTTATTCACTCCACTTCAATTTAGAGAAATATAAAAATTTTATAAACTTTAGGAAAACTATTTAGGATGAGAAGTATCTTAAGTAAAGATCTAGCAACCATGCAACTTGTTTGTGTGCATAACTGGAGTTGTCTGAAATTATTACTAGCCTGTAATAATTCAGAAAATTTTACTAAGTGATTTGTGATATCCAATAATCAGCTAATTAACAACTATATTAGGAATCAATGATTATTTCTTACTGAAAGCAGAGAAAATGTATCTGTATAAATCAGTGATTAAAACATTTACAAAAATACACATCAATGAAGAATAAAAATACTTAAGAGAATTAATGAAATTCAGAGAAACAATTTTGATATTTGTAAGTGTTATTCCTCAATTTTTTTACTTGAGATAATCTTGTCTGAAAATCATTTCTAGTCACTAAATCAGAATTCACTTGTAACTACATAGGAAAGGAACAAAGTAGGTTGGGGATGAGGGAATATTTGAAGCAATTTTGTCAAATTGTTATCACAAATTTTATAACTATCATGAACTCTATTAAAACAATGTTGACATTTTTCATTATTTCAGCTGATAGTTCTTTTTATTTTTACATGACTTAAATAACAGAATCATGCTAATATCAAGCAAATAAAATGAAAAGATAAAATATCTTACTTTGAGTTCACTCACGGCATTGGCATCTAATGACAACAACGGAGAATTGCAAGGCTTTACAATTAACACTAACTGAAATTCAGAAAAAAAAAAAGTTATCGATACAAGTGAATAATATGTAAAATATGGATAACAAGTACTTTGATTTATTAAATTTTTTTTTAATTCTATGGTAAATACAATTTTGTACAGGTCAAAAAAGATTTTTATAAACTATTGAATAGGTAGGGAAAATATTTTTTAATATAAAATTACAGAAAGCAGTAAATGCAAACACCGAAATTCAAGATTGCACCTTAAAAGCATATGGTTATATACAAGTTTTATATATATATATATATATATAAAAATACTTGAAGCTAGATACACTCAGAAAATATTTCAGATTATTTGAATGACTGAAATGTCCAACGTCAATGCAGAAATTTAACATTTAATGCATTTGTTGACATGTAATCTAAAGCAAGAGGATAATTTATTATGGACAGTGAAATTACCTTGTATCCATTTGGCATTAAAATCTTTTTGTCAGCTGCTCTTATTGCCTCTGCAGTACGTTTGTCTTGAACGTGGAATATTGAATGTTCATTCTCACTTTGGTACTGGGGTAAGAAAAAAAAAAAATTGATAAGACAAAGAAATCCTTTAGATGACATTAATGAATAATCAAATAATGGTGAAAAAATGTTGTAGAAGAATCGCACAGTAAGTTTAACTTAGCACAATCCTGTCGGCACTTCTACATTTATGTAGGTGGTTAAAAAACATCCTGAGAGTTACTTTAGCTCACAAGATATAAAAGAAATAAAAAGGAACCACCAAGAAGTTTTATTTAGTCCAGTAAAACAATTTATCAACCCAAAATCTTAAGAAAAAAAAAAAAAGTTAAAATTACAAAATAAATTGCAGAGATGCAAAGTGTTTAACTCTACAAAAAGGTTTGAGATATCATCTCTCTCAATACAAGTGGCAAAGTTGTCCAAAATTAAGTTACCAGATCATTATAAAGAAAATAATGAAAAAAAAAAAAAAAAAAAATTATATATATAACAATGAGAAGAATAAGATGAAGTCTAATAATTTAAGATTTTTGTCATATTTTATGCAAGAATGACCTACTCTGCAGAGTTAGAAATTTTCCATAGTGATAGTGCAATTATATAGGTATATTCTTTTTGTTTTATTAGCAGCAGTCTCAAAAATATTGAACATGTTCAGAAAGTGTAATTACAGAATGATAATTCTTGAATTTTTTTTTCCTTAAATATTCCTTTGTATTATTCAAATAATTTCTTCAGTAAGATTAAAAACCAAGAATCAAAAATATTTTATTTTTGTGGCTTTTTAGAAAGTTGTATTTCAATTCTTTTGGAAACAGATCTATCAAAAATGTTTATTGATAAGCTTTTTGGAGGGCAATCCAAGAAAATTATTGAAAGCAACAAGAATTTCTTAAATTTTAATTTCAAAAGGTTAATGGAAAATTACAATGGAAAATGAATGCAAATTCAAAATTTGGATGCTGGTTCATCAATATTAAATTCTTTGGATAGTTATTAATGTGTTATCAATAAGACAAAGTGCATTTTATTTGTGAATAGTCTGTTTTGCTTATGTGGTTGAATAGTAACCTTCTTGGGAACATATCCAATTCTATCAAAATGACATTATATTGTCAAGATGTTGATGATAAAAAAGCTTGAATTTTTCTTAAAATCAACTATTTCATTTTGAGAATTGTTGAATTTTCTTAAATGTTTTACTTTTAAAATATTTGTATGCTTCTGAATTAACTTCTTTTGATTAAGATAAGACTTTGTAAGAGAATTGTGTTAGCAATTTTTTTTTTTTTTTTTAGTAATGAATATTGAGATAACTGTGCTCTCCAGCTCATTTGACAGAAAGAATCCACATTCGATTTGATACATTTTTTTTTTTATATATTTGGAATGGGGTATTTTTCCAGTATTAAAAGTTTTTGATTATTGCAAAGTTTAAAAAAAACAACGAAACACCTGGAGATTGCTTTACAAAATTTGCCACAGGAGAAAAAAGTAAGGAAACCCTTGGAAAAATTCCACAGGACATTTTCTATAAATACTTTCTTCCTTTTGATAAATGGTGTAAGGTTTTATTTTGGGATGTGGGGCCAAAGAAAATTAAAAGGAGTATTGTCAAATTTGATTGGAAAGTGGAGCAAATTAAAAAAAAAAAAAGTTAGTTACAAGAAATTCAATTGACCAAGAATATAGGCAGTGAAGCTTTAATTAGTATATAATAAACATTACCATAACTGCTTACCTCCCTTGCTTCATGCCTACTCTTGTCTATATGAATAGAACCAAAGTAATAACTAATTTGAAGTTGTCTGAGGGCCAGAGCTATGTTTATTTAAGTACTACAGAAGAAATGAGCTAAAGAATTTTACAAATGAAAGTCTTGGGTGTTAACAAATAGGAATCTGGTTTTCAAATAATAAACATGTTCAATCATCAAAATAGAAGTTATTTCATTTGTTTATATCCATGAAACACCTATAAAAAAACAAACATACTCAGATGCATTCAGACTTTTGGCTCAGCACTCACTGAGTAAAGTTGTAAAATACCTTGGTCATGTGATCAATTTCTGAATGAATTTTGCTGCTGTGAATCACAAGGTGGTAGCTTGTAACAAACAAAATCCCTGCTGAGAAAAAAAAATTTCTTTCTTCAGAGAATTCTCTTCATTCTCATATTCCAAAACAAAAGGAGGATCTACAAGTCTACCAAAATAGAACGGTTTTGGGAAATTTAATATTGAATACAGGAATTTTGTCAGGTTTTGAAAGAAACCCTAATAACCTTTTTTGTCTGTGTATGATCATTACTTGACCAAAATCCCACTGAAGGATATTTCAACTGAAGCCAAGAGATTTTATCATTTGATAAACCATGACAAATCGGTGATTTCCTCTTGATCTCCAAATCATGTCCACTGGTAGGAGAAACAACTACGTCCAGTGACCATATGTTACACAGCAATTAAAAAGTAAATACTTACACGGATTGCTTGGAATGGCATGTTGATCTCTTTTTCAATTTTCTGAAAAAGGACTTTCTTGTCAAATTTCTGACCAAAAGGAACCTGCCAAGGAGAAAAGCAAAGCATAAAAATATCAAATGTGTGTGTGTTTACCAAATTTGCTTGCACAACATATTGGCAAGAGATTTTATTTAGAGTATTTTGGTATTAAACTTATTCTTTCAAATATATGCACATATATATATATATATAAAAAAAAAAGTCATATTTTAAACCATTGCAAAATTTAGCAGTAGTAAATTTTGCAATGGTTTAAAATATGATGTACATTACATTTTAGACACCTTCCATTTAATTTACAAAAGTTTTAATTAAACCAAATTTGTTTTAACCTTTAGCACTATGCATTAACATTACTTTCCCTTCCACTGCATTCTTTTCCAAGGCCTCTCAATTGCAGTATCATCATTGTTAATTTCACAAAGTTGTTTTTTGTTGCCATAGAAGGCTATGACAGCACAACTACAAAATTCAAAACACAGGAATCAGAGTCATCTTCGGTGACAGGATAAACTTTTGTACAGCAAATGAAATCAGTGTTAAGGTTAACTTGCTGTTAAATACCAACTGAATTTTGTTTAAAAAAAATTAAATGTCTTATTTCTTTTTACCTTTACTTTGTACCAGTTTTCTGAATTCCGACTATTACGGACTGGTAAACCAAGACGTTTTACTCTATCTGAAAGAGTAAAATAAATGACCGTCAACACACTGATGGATAAAACTTCAAACATGTCTATACAAAAAATTAAGCTTTAAGGACAGTATTTGATAAAGATCAAAAATAGATAAAGTTATAAAAAAACAGAAGTAAATAAAAGCAGTAGAATGAAAAGTAAAGCTTTAATCTATGAAAAAACATTGTACCATTGTAATGAAAAAGGGAAAACAAATTGTTAGGATTAGCTTAATTAGCTTTCAACATTTACATTAAATTCTGATAACAGTTTTAAGTAACAGGATTACTAACAAATATCAACCTGTGGGTTTTCTAAAAACTTACAGAGGGCTAGAGATGCAGACAATGCAAAGTAAAAGATTAAAAAAAAAAAAAAAAAAAAAATTAGAAAAATTTGCTTGATGTGATATCTGTAGGATAAAATTCCACCTATATAGGAAAATTTACTTATATCTATATAAGACAGTGTAGTTGATGTATGATGACAGAAAACAAAAAATTTCTTACCACCAGATTGAATTTTGTCCATTTCTAAAAGTTTATTTTGTTGCCGTCTTAATCGTTTTGCATTCCTCCGATTTTTATGGTAGGGAGAACTGGAAAAAAAAAAAAAAAAAAAATATGATTGGCAATTTTATATATATATATATATATATATATATATAAACAAAAATCTACAATACGTTTATATTATTTGAAATCAGGTTGTGCCATAAGTGAAACTTAAAATCTGATAGTGATAGACAAATATTTTTGCTAAGTAATACATGCTATTAAATGTTCATACAGTTAGTCACAAAGTTGAATTGTACTGTTAAAGCGTAACTTGCTGAAAATAATAAAATTCAACTTAGTGACTAACTTGAAGTGTTATTTTACAACTATAAATCATAAAAATTATTGTTCAATATGATCAGTTGATTCATTCTTATAACTCTTTAATGACTATTTTAGGTTTTATTATTAAGAGGCTGTTTTTTTTTTTAATGTAATTTCTTGAACAATAAGTCAACTTTTCATTAATACTTTCAGCATTAAAATATACTCTACCTGAACAATAAAGTGATAAAAATGTTAAATCAATCAGAAAAATTAACTTACTGTCTTTGATCTGATGATCCTGGTAATCCATCATCCATAGGATAATCATCATCAAGTCTGGACCTAGAATTTCCACCACCACCACCTACAACATATGATATAAAAAAAAAAAAAATAAATAAACTGAACTTAAAGAATTACCAGCAAGGACACACCATTTCGGCCTTAGACTACAAAATTTTGAAAATCCCAAAGGTACTGTTAGGTTCTGTTCCTTGAATGCTCTGAAGAGCTCGTTTAGGTTGCACAAGATGAGTCTTTTCTGCTGATGAATATAATGTTTAATACTAACGTAGTCTTTCCTGCCTGGCATCAGTTGAGTATATTCATCATCTTGGTAAAATGCTTCCACTAACTGTGCAATATCAGCAGGCAAAGACTTGCCCCTTTTTGGTTCTGGCACAGCTAAAATACCTCTTTCCAAACAATTTGCAAGCTTTGCATACAATGTGTTCTGAAACACCAAACACATTCGTGACTTTTTTGTGTGATTAGTCGGTAGGAGCAAGCGTCAAGATCTGTATTTTGATTTTAGTTTATGATTTTCTTCTGAATGAAACAAAATTCAAATATTTATGTTTCATGAAAATAATTTTAAAAAAATTATTTAAAAAAATGAAAATTTAAAAAAAGTAATGAAAGCATTTACTTCAACTATATAAATATGTTAAGTGCCAACTATAAATATTATGTTTTAAAGATTCACATTTATCTTATGACTTTTTTGAGAATGAAAAAAAATCAAATGTTTTTTTGTTTCATGAAAATTTACCAAAATAAAATTAAAAGAAACACTAACAGAAAGAATTTCTTTTAACTCCATTTGTTAAGTGCCATTTAGAAATTTTCTACACACTGTTGATTATCATACATGAGGCAATGTTTACCGCTTTTTAAAAACAATCTTATCTGTACAAAAAGTAAGATCTGCAAAATATATTTAGATAATTTTTGTTTTTAAATTAATAAAAACAATCTTATTGAATTGTCTAAGAAGTTACTTAGCACAATATCAACATTTTAGAGGTCATGGAGCATTAGGATGATTGTCTTTAATTATAATCTTTCTCGGAAATCCTGCACATATGTAGGAAAAAAACTCTAAACTTGGCAGGGTCATATCTTCTAAAGTAGACATAAAACCCTCACAAAAATTTTTTGGTGATCTGGAGAAGGCATTGTAGATGTTAGGCAAATATATTATGAAAATTGAAGAGGACATATTTTTGATAGACTGACCGTAAGCTACATAGGTGAAAAGTTGTTGATTTTGGGGTCATGTATTAGGATGAGCAAAATAAAATTTTCTATCAAGTTTAGGCTTGAAATAGTTAAATATTTGGATTCTACACTTATTTGCCCTACATACCAAATTTCATAAATATTGACGGTATGAAAGTATTTTTCTTTAATTTTTAAAAAACACTGAAATTCAGCAGCGTTGCTTTACCTTAATTTAGAGGCAAATAGGAAAATTACACCCCGCTTAAAAAATTGGAGCGTAAAGTCAGTTAATAAAATAATTTGGCACCCTTTCCTAACTCATGAAGGGAACATTTGTGCCAAATTTCAAATAATTAGGTGTCGGTGAGTGCAGATTTCAACTTTTTGCTGGTGTTTTGACATGGAATGCCCATATTTATACTCTGTACTAGGCCCCGTATACTTGTGAGGAAAGAGAGGAACAGGGAAATTAACCAGAATCAAGATTTTCTGCGCTAAGCTAGTAAGGTGACTGATTTGGCCAACAATGGGAGAGATTTTAACCAAAGGGGTTAATCAGTTGCCTGGTGAAATGGAAAAAAAATTGTTCCCCAGAATCTCAGGACTGGTAGACAATACACTGTAAGACAACCACTTTATACATTAAAATGTATTCTGGCATTCATCTGTAAGAAATCCCCGCCCACTTTGTGTATGTCATGTTTCATAAATAAATTCACATTATTTCACATTTTCCTATCAATGCTTCTCCCCTTTATTAATAGGTAGAATCCATAAAACCAACCATGGCATTAGTGTGAACTTACCCTTTCTGCTGTATCTTCCTCCTCTACCATGCCATTTTGATCTTTTATAGAAAGACCTGTGTTTATCATCTAGAAAAGAAAAATACAAAAAGGTTATCAGCTATAGTATACTTAACAAGCACATAAAGGAAAAGTCAAATCTACTACAAACAACATTTTAAAAACAAGAACCATTTAAATCTTATTGCAGTATTTAAAAGATTCCAAAAACTCTAGTTTGTTGATAAAAATCAATACAAGCTATCAAATTAAATTTACAATTAAGGGGTGGTAGGGAAGGGACTAAGTTCAGAGAATTCCATTAAAATATGACTATTCTCTGATTACGCTGGTCTACAATTTTTCTCAAGTTGACTACTTAAGAAATGAGTTGTGCCAATTTTGGTATGCTGAATTTGAAAATGACATTTAAATTATTGGGTTGTCCTGAAAGTTCATGCCGATTTTTAAGGGAAATTAAAATACAAAACAAAATTATGTCATTGAATATTTATTCATCTAAATATGAACTATTTTGTTGTAAAACCTTTCTCCATTTTTCCTTCAACTTCCATCTTCCCAGAATTGTTT